TTAAACAGCTCAGATTTTCTTTGAATATTTCATAAAATTATTACTTTTTTTAGATTTTGAACTCCCGAAAGAAGAAACTGAAATCCTGCAAAATAACTTCTTCTCTCCAGTTCTATGCATTACCATTTCTTGTTCTGAACAATTGAGTGTTTTTTAAAATAATGTTTGAGTAAAGATGAGTAAGAGGTGGTTAGGTTCGAACTAAATCAACTTGATTAGGAAGACAATTGAAAACCAGAAAAATCTTCTCTCACATAGGGTACAAACTGAAAAGCAATTTCTGTCTTCTCTTCATCGACATATGAATTATATGAAAGAATAAAATCATCATAGATACAAACACTATAAATTAATGAATAAGAAGGTAACGATGATTAAGGAGAAGCTGAAGCATCACATCTCTGGAAGGATGAAGCTTTTTTCAATGAGAGTTGAATTTGAAACATTATTTTCTATGACATCCGAGGAGAATCATTCTACTTCAGGTTGATGTGAAATAATGAAAGAAAAATTAAAAACTAACGAAACATATTTCTTGAAATGTTCATGTAATTTCAAGTAATTCATCAATTTTTTCTTATTTCAATCTTTTCATCTCAGCTGTTGGTGCGAATGAACGGAGCAAGAAGAGATTTGAGGCAACTGTGAAATTCCGAAAAGTTTAACAAGCACCTTTCTGCAAGAGAAAAATCATTTACAATTCCTCATGCAAACATCTAAATGGTTTGTTTTTTTTTTCAAAAACGAAATTAATGAATGAAATGTCCTTATTTAGAATGTTTATATGCTCATATACTTATATACAATCATTCTATTGACTGATTGCACTCTGGTAGAGAGAACAACACGTTATGGTATTCTACATGGAACACGAATTGTTGCTGATCATACAGAAGCTGAAGTCTTTTCCTCAATTCCATTTGCAGAACCACCGATTGGCAACTTGCGATTTGAAGTTTGGACGATTTATGTCAATTTGAGATTTACATTTTCAGAGCCCAAAAGCGCTAGCAGCAGATGATAAACGAGTAATCAATACAACGGAAGTTTATTCATGTATTCAATCATGTTTGTTCAAAAACTCATGTTCCAACTTTTTTTTCCTTTTTTTAAGTTCTGCTTGATGGATTCAGTTCTTCTATCCATCAGTCTGAAGATTGTCTTTATATGAAAGTGATAACTCCTGTTAGACGGCAGAATGTAAATGCAATTCTGTATGTTGAAATTGGTAATGCTGTTTACAGGATTCCAAATATCCCGCTGTCATTTGGATACATGGCGGATCGTATAGTGTTGGACTCAATGATATGTATCAAAATGAGAACGTTATTCGACACTTTACCTCAAAAGGGATAGTCTTCATTGCTCCCAATTATCGATTGAACATATTAGGTACAGTTATGAGTATAACTACTACAGACATCAGAGATCATAGGTTTCATGAGCATGGGTGAGAGTGATTTTGCAGGAAATTATGGTTTAGAAGATATTTTATGTGCAGCTGAGTATGTGGTTGAGTAATCCATCATAAAATAATGATTTAAGAATGATTAAATCGCTTGCGGATGATTTTAATTTGGATATGGAACGATTAACGATTGCTGGTGAAAGTGCTGGAGCAGCATTAGCTTCACTGTTATCAATTAGTCCTCGAGCTCAAAGTGAATTAATTGAATGAAAATAAATAAATAATTATAGTTAATTTAGATATGTTCAGCTCGACAATTTTAATTTCTGGCTCATCACAGAATATTTGGGCAATTAGGGAATCATCGACCATTGCAACGACAGCGCTCTGTGCACTTCATTGCAGATGTGCAAAGTTGAGCATAGAACATGAAAATAATTTTTTTTTTGTTCTAGATCTTCAGCTCTACAGATGAAAGAGTGTTTGAAAACGAAAGACTTGGATTGTTTATCAAGTTATCAGAAATATCTTCTGATTCCTAATCAAGATGTTGATCACTGTCCCTTTCTCATTGTTTCATTCGAGTGTTTAGACATGGCTAGAGCCATTGCGAATGGGAAGCGCTTTGTTCACACCTGTTGTTGATAACTACCGTCAGAACTTAAGTCTTCTGCCAGAGCCTCCGGAGGTTTTGATATCCAAATATGGAAGGTACGGCTAAGATTGAAGAAAAATAATTATTTTCTCTTCATCAGAGGGCCTATTCTGATCTCTGTCACAACTGATGAAGGGAAGAACATAAGAATTCTGAACAACTTGAGTAAGAATTCGTTGATTCACGGAGATACTAAAGAAGTACACTCCTTTCTATAGTTGAATATACATGTGGGAATGTGCAAACCTGTACGAGTGATCGTTTGAAACTCCTGATCAACAGCTTGATATCATCAAATCCACAAGCTATCCAAGAGGTATCATAGTCAAACAGCGGATATTTTCCAGCTTCCTTCCATTCAGCTCTCTCCATTTATTTTCGAAAAGTACTTCCAATCCTTCATTACATTATCGGATAATTCAACAATACTTGAAATTTCAAATATGTTAACAAGTAAAGTATGATAATTGTAGATATGAGCTCATTTCAACGTTTATAGGAGATATGACATCATCTGTATATCATGAAGCATTATTATATTCCCTCAACAACATTTCTGTTTATACATTAGAGAATGAAGTTCACTCATCAGGTCAGTTAAGTCTAAACCATCTAATGGGCGATTGTTGTTATTAAGAGCCAACAGCGCATGGACACGATACTTCCAGTCTATTTGGCTCAGACTTGTTCCATTCCGGTTGTGATAATTGTCGTGAACGGACACAATTTGCTTCGAAATTTGCAGAAATTTTGACAACATTTATCAAGATGAAGTGATTTGGCTGATTGAATGAGAAGTAACTGATTGAAGTTGTTTAAGGCAAATTAGTGACTTTCAACCGTTTAACTCTCTTAACAGAATCGCTCATAAACTCAATGAGAATGGCATAACAGTCATTGATTGGCATACGGAAGATTATTATTTTTGGTTTGTTACCATAATAGTTCCTATTAAGGAGATGTTTCTTTTAGGTGGCAGACGATTCGTTTGATTCAGAAAAATGTTTATCGGAAACTCGTGATGACGTGATAAATAAAAATATTTATTAGATAGAATGTACAACCGCTCTTCAAGCCATGCATATCATAAATGAAGATGTGCACATCAATAAACGTGAAAGTCACGTGAATTAACACGTGAAATTAGAATGATTGACTTATGTTTGCTGATTTAGAAGACAGAAATCATGAGAAAGTCCCTTGAAACATATTCAGCTGAGTTGATTTTATTTGGTTAAACAAAGCTTTCGCCACTTGGCTTCAACCTTCTTTTCTCAGCGCATTTCCCACTCTCATTTCTTCGTCTTCCTTAACGTTTTGTCTTATTTGGCAATTTTAGCATTGAGTTGCCTTAGACGTTCTTAGATGTAACCTGATACTCACAAGTCAATAACACATTTGGTGGCTAACATTTGGAACTATCGAATAGAAATATAAACAGATATGCTGCTGACTGCCTAACATATTTTATTTTGAAAATACAGAAGACATTCTCATCGAATATTCAATCTCTGTTTGCTAACTTAAATGACTCATTGAATGAGAAAAAGAAATTGATTAAGAATGTTAAAATGAGTTGCATTTCTATAGCTCGTTGCAAACTCACCCCCCCCTACTTTCACAAAATCTTGTTCAAAACAAGCTTTCAAACTATTGGTTAAAAGTAATAAAATGGAACAAACGAACATTATGCCTGACTGTTTGTCTCTTTGGCAACTTAATAAAACCTTTAACCAATCAGATATCCTTCATGTTAACGTTCAACAGCTATTCGAACGGAATGCTACCAGAAGTAGACTGGAGCTCTATGAGGTCACAACATTCCTTTTCTCTATTTTTTTGGTGCAGACTGAATCTTCTACTGTCTTTAACTGGTTTTTAGGAGTCTACGAAGCCTAATTGAATCGTCTTAAAATAGTCTGGTCCCTTTTACATTCATTTTTCCTCCTTTTTTTTTCATTTTCTCTCTTCTCGTTTGGTCATTCAGCTAATTCTAATTCTTTCCATGATCATCAACTACTTTTGACCTCTTATTTCTTATCGAGACATTCTCTTCCCAGCTCTTCTAGAGCTTCAAAATGGAAGAGTCAGAAAAAAAAGAAACTTTTCCCTCTTTTCAACAATGTTTCGTAAGATAGGACAAAAGAATAGCAAATGTTTGATGACCAAAGTCAGAACCAGCTAGGACCGAAAAAAACGTTTCTGTTTTCATAGCAATACGAATGAAAATAGAAACTGAGAGTTCAAAACGCAAAAACAATCATCTTTACTGGTTATGAGGCTTTTTTAAGGAATTTCGGGGCCATCAATCAAACGAGCAATGATCTCATATAAATTGAATTGAAAGCTGCATAAAACTCTTATTCATATGAGGCCCAGTTGAGATTACAAACTGGCCCCAGATGGCTGAATGAAGCCAACATAATTCATCGGACATTACTCTTGAAAAAACGAATTCCACTTCAGCTCAAATTCATCTCTCAGGTCCCCGTCTTACTTCCTTTTTTGTATTTTAAAATGAGCCGTTTTTCGTTTTTGTCGTCGTCCTCATCATCATCAGCAGCATCGACATCGTTCCAGCTAAAGCCTTCAGCTGTGAGGAAGCCCTATCCATGATAGAGAGAATTAGAGGAGGAACGAGACAGAAAGAAAAAAAATAGAATGGAAAGAAAAAACGTAGGGAAATAGACGTTGATGGTCGTCAGACAAATGACAAAATTGTCTGTTGGCTCTCCATGCCCTTGCACGTTTTCCTTGATTCTATTGCAAAAGAGCAAAGAAGGAAAAAAGAAGAAAAAATTGACAGTTATAGATGACCTATAGAGAGGGAATTGAGGGAGAAAATGAAGAATTACGAGAGATTTGAAGCAATTAATAACAAAATAACATGTGCTTGTTGTCATTTCATTTTACTGCTTGTCTGACCTTGTTTCCTCTCTTGACATTAGCCACGTAGAGAGAAAGAAAGCATTTCTCATTTTCAAATCATTTAATAGTAGACCACATTTGGTCATCAATTTTTAATCTAAGAGTTATACTGTAGCTCATTCAACTTTCTTAATGTCTCAATTTGTATTCAAACCGATAAGCTTCGAAGGTTATGAAAGATTTACGATTACTCATCTTTCCTCAATTTCATATAGCTTTTCTTCTCAACTACTCTATACTATCAGCTGCTCAAATCAGACGACTCCATCAGTCATCTACAAGAGTTTTGGGTTGTGTCCCATCTCCTTGGAGGCTCATTTCCGTCATGAGAAGATTCTAGTCTTCCAGCTTCTTCTTTTCTTCTCTGCAGCGCTCTTCTCTTCCGGGTTATCTTCACAATCTCTCTTTCTGGCTTTCTCTCCAATAACAAGAGTTTCGGATCTTCGCACTTCGACTCCACATCAACCAGGCTCAGCCATAATACGATTTTTCATATATTTTGACAAGGCAATTACGAAAGAGTTCTAGTTTTGAGTCAAATATATTCTTTCGACAAAAAAAGAAAACATTCAACTATCAAGTTAAACAAAGAGGAATTTTCATTTGCAACGGAAAAAGTCATACTATTTGCATATTCCCCCTCTTTTCCCTTTGTCCATACAGTTGCTATCCATAAAAAGACAATTCTCTTTGTTTTCTCCGTTCCTATACATGTCAGACACGATTCCCGTTTTTACACGGTAATCATTTGTCTATCTATTCTAATTATTATGAACGTCTGCCCTGAGGGGACAACCAGTTTTTTGAGGGAAAAACAAGAATTGGAGGATTCAAAAAGATTTTCTGAGGCTTAACTACAGAAAATACCTTGACGATTCTCCTATTTGGTGTTAGATTAGTTTGTTCCAAATCTTGATTCGTTCCGAAACTCGTCTCAAACGAAACAGTTTTGAATGTTTTTGTTAGTCTCACTCCCGCAGTGGATTCAGTTTCCAGCTTCCACTAATCCCTTACCCCTCTCTAATTAAACTTCTTTTATACTTAGAAGAGAAGTTTTCTTTTCGTTTTAAAATGATAAATGGATTCATTTCTTCCGTTCGGAAAAAGGGAGTTTCTTTCTGAGCGAAATGATGTAATGCTGCAGAAAAAACGGATTTCTCACTGAAATCTTCTTTTCATTTAATGATAGATGGCCAGAGCTAGCAGAGTTTCGGAACATTTTTTGGGCGGAAGAGAAAGAAGTATTACTGGAAGACAGAAGAAGAAGATAAGGGTGAGGAAGAAGTCGATGATATCATATAGAACTTTATTCTAAAACATTTCAAAATGTTCGGAGGATGTTTTCCAAGAAGGACGTTGAGTAAGGACTCGATGAAGAATGACTATGAATTAGTTGACACATAAAAAAGAATATACAAAATTCTTAAGTCACATAATCTAGTACAGAATATAAGATGTTATGAGTTGAAATCGCTATGGTAAAAAAAAAGTTGTAAAACAAGAAAGATTTTGTATATCAACTTGAAAATTCGCAGAAAAAAAAACAACAACAAACAGTCAAAAAAATAATTACTAAATAAAGAACAAATGAATAGATAGGGGATGGTAGAAGAGCAACGTGGTCATGCTCATTTATTAATTGAGAAACTTTGGAGAATGCAAAATACCCATAAACGAAGGAATTATTATGAACAGATTCATATTTCTACACAAATGGGCAACCACGTGGCAATTCATACATCATTTGCTTAATGGCATTCACTAGATTCAGAAAAAAATTGGTGAGAGGCTACACAAACTGACTGGGTAAGGTGAACGGGGATTTGGAATAACTAGAACATCACTTTCTTGTGAAAACAAGTAAAAAGAACTTTGTGAGTGACAGCAGGGTTAGGGCTCTCCATCAGCCATAAAGCCAAACCAATTTGGCGTCAGACCGAAGGACATCGTTATCATCATGCGAAAGGAATCAACGAACTTATATGAAGCCAACCGAGACGCGGGCCAGGCCCCACGGCGCCCCACACCCGTACGCGGCAGCACCGACGGCACGAGATCAAGCGGTTAAGCCGTTCCAACTTTTTCTCTAATCTCACAAATTACGAGATCTAGCGAAGTTTTTGATAAATTACTCCGAACTCAATCCGAAAAACGCTGATCATACTGTTTAACTGAGTCACGAGAAAGACAAGGAACTCAAAAGTATGAAGATGAACGCTTGATGGAAGAAGCGGGAAAAACTGAGGAGCAACAATAGGTAGGCATAGATCGAAGTAAAATTGGGAGTGAGGAAAAAGTGGAACGGTTAAGCCGACAGCGAATGTACACGGCTACACAAGCAATCACCGTAGGGCAGCATCACAGAGGAGTCGACTAGTAGCGAGGCGGCAACTGACCGCTGACTGAAACACACCCATTAGGCAAGCGTGAGTTAAGCTTTTTGAAATCTTTGATCAGATACTTACAGCAACAAGCGACATACAGTTCTTTTTAAATCGAATGACAGGCTTTTTAAGCAATTTTTCAAGTAGATTCTGGAATCTACTTCAAATACGTGTTAGAGCAGTGAATTTCAGGAGCAGATAAGCAACTGCTGGATGCAAAAAAGGACTGTGTGTTGCCTGTTAGAATATCGAGATGAATGAAACGCAAAGGTTAAATTTCTTCTAGCGCAGCTATCGAAAACGAAATACAGATTTGAATTTTTCGATGGAAGCAGAACAAGTGCTTCAAGACCAGATAAAATTATCCAGCTCATAACTAGCGTGTGAAAAAGCTAAAGTGCCGTAAATCATTACATAATTCGCGCAAGACAGATAGTTGGAAAAAAACTTTCTCAAGTCTAGGGAGTTTACATGGGGGATAGTTCTAGGAAGGAATATAGTACTCACAAGACACAGCAGGCACATAGCCTTGCAGACCCTGAAGAAGGTAAGGATTGAACTGTTGAGTTGGTTGTCCCTGATAGACGACTGTCCCGTTTTTGTCCAATGCTGGACGTTTACACGGAACGCCAGCCTGAAGATATGGTTATTATCAGAAGCTCCAACACACGAAATGGAGTGCTGACTATAATTCATGCCACAACACGCCACTGCGTTAGAATATTGAACTAAACAAAACAAAATAACAACCATCACTTCTTGCCGTGGAGCAATACCACGTAAGGAAATGAGAAGAACAAAATCGGGGATAGCATATGTTATGCTGAATCTGATGAGAGAAGTAGCAAACTGGATTGGAACAGAGCAGAAGCAAATTTAGCAACGGCGAGCATCAAAAATGAAAAAAAAACAAAATGTGGGAAGTGATCTATCTTCTGTTGTGAATTTCAATACAGCCTTCTTATTTCTCTCTTCATATAAAGTCATACGTCATAGACCATCCCATAAGGCATAAGTAGCACAGCAAGAAGTGATGGGGACGAAAAGAAAGAAATAATACCGCAGCAGACACGGCAGCAGCCAGGTTCAGCAGATGAGCTTGTTGAGTATTGCTGGCAATATCATCATCCTCCAATGTTCTCTTCCTATTCAGTTTAGCAGCTTGTGATGGCGTGGGCGTAGGCTGCACGACGGACGGAGGCAGGGAGAGCGCGGGTGCTGTATTTGTAAGGTTGGGCTGGAGAACTGTTAACTGAGCAGCTTGCGCAGCTAGCAGTCCTCCATGCCCTACATGTCCTCCAGCTGTAGCTCCACTGCCCGCGCTCTGTAGCAATGCCGCAGCCTGCAGTTGCTGAACAGAGCTCTCAGCTTCAAGCCATGCACAATAAACGTTAGGCGCTGCGAGCGCTGAACGCAAGACGCAAAAAGGGCTAAGGCATCAAGTGTTGTTTAATTCAAAATACAAATAACGCTTTGATGGATGAGTACAAACGCATAATTTTCGCTTCGCTCAAATCAGAAACACCACTAGTAACGAAAGTGCGAAAGAGCCGGTAATTGATAATGAAAATGCGAAAGACGTAAAAGGGTTATAACCAAATCAACTACACGGCAGGAACGTGCAAAAGTGGATGACAATAACGCCTTATGAGAGCCTTAGTACAAGCAAGCAACAAGAGTTTAATGTTACCTGAGTTACAGCAGCCTGATAAGGATCTTGCAGCATAGCTGGATATATCATGCCCTGATAGTAAGGATAATGCAAAGTTGGAATGAGATTGGCAGCGGCTAAGTTAGCTTGTTGTTGCTGATGCTAAAACATGGTGGATGAGCCCAAGATACATAGACACGACATGATTGTTAGAGCACATGAAGAAAATTCTCACCAATTGGATTTGTTGTAATGATTGAAGTGGATTAACTAAAGGTGTTGCACCCGTTCCTTGATTCAACTGAGCTGAGATAAGATTTTTTAGCGCCAAATTATTGCGGCCATTAATGAGTAACTGATCCTTGATGTGTTGAGGTGGATGAAGATATTTACATTTTGGGTTTTCACGCGTGCAACGTCCCTAGAAGAAAAAAAATTGAACTTATTATTCTGCGTTTCGATATCAGTTCAGAGAGAAAGACAGAAATTTGAGTTTCCGCTGACCGATATAAATTACGATGTTGGGTTAGCGCAGTCATCATATAATTAATCTGATCGTTGATGCGCATAAAGACTTTGTGAAGTGATGACTTCTATTCGCTCTTTGAGTCGCCTGTTGTTGTTTCAACGGCTTGATTTGATTCGTTGTAAAAATCAATGAGCCAGGTGAAGACGAACCCAATATCGCAATACATTGTTATCCTAACTTGCTTTTTATTGATCAAGATAAAGATGTCACTTTGGCATCACTGTGGGAAACAATTCCCTGTGGTGTTGGCTATTGTTCAGTTTATAGAAAAATTTGTTAAATTCCTCCCCAGATCCGATTCGTCAACTTTAGTGTTGAACTTGAATCAACTAACTTGAGGAATGAGACAATATGTGCCACAATAGACTCAATTGCACAGAGAATGAATATCAATAGTTCTCTATGCTGCATTCTTCTATACTCCTAACTAAGCTATCAAACCGATTCGACATAGTACAAAGCCGAGCTGCTATATGAATACAACTTTATCACATCGACATTCATACACTCTTTGAAAAAGAACTTTGGGCAATCCTTTAAACATTTACAGTTCAAATTGAGTGAAATGAGCTTCCTTGGTTCTTCTACTTTTGAAAAAGCAAAACACCAATACATTTTGCCCAAATACTAATAACAGCCGCAGTCTTTTCAAACAAGCAGATCTTATAGCAAACAAACCGGACAAGCAAGTTACAGGAGGAATATTTTTTTGTATAAAAAGTGTCTTTCCTAAGCAGGAAATGAATTGATGTAAACACCCACTATTCGTCAACCCCTTGACATGAAGGAATGAAGAATGCGAAAACTTAATCACACATAATGATGAAAACCTATTTTAACCAATAGCTCTCAGCAAAAGCAACGAACCGGATTCACAATTCCCTTATTCGATCCTCTTTTTCGTCTTTGCATGACTAGGGTTGTCTCCATTTCGGCCGACAGTTCCCTTGGGACTGAGATCCTATGCTTTATCCAGATGGCACATCTTCACCACACCCTTCACTTCGATAACCTCGTCATGTCAAGCTACTTGATAGATATGTAATCCACTATTGTTCCATAACATAATGCAACTTAAAAGCTGCAAAAAATGCAACAATATAGTGAGAACATATATTTCAACAGGCCGGAGATTGTTTTCCATAGGAAAATTTGAATCATGGTCATGCGCAAAGATGACATGGGTTGATGACCTAATCACATGATTCTTACTCGGCATCAATTATTATCGTTCAAATACATGAAAAACAGTTTTGCTCCGCATCGGTATCGGGCTCATATGCCTGTCAATTTGTGCAAAAATGACCTTGAGTTCAAAGATAATTTTTCTCTATATTTTCTGACCAATGAAATTGATCCCTCAATGTCACAATTGGCAAGAAGGCATATACGAGACCACACCCAATCGGAATTTAAGTGCTATGTATGAAAATATAAAAACTCAAATTGAACGACAATATATCATATTAATAAATTGTGGAATGCAACTGTTCTGTGCGTGTGGGTGAGATAAAGTTACTAGAACCAAATAAGTCTAGAATCCAAACTCATTTCTACTCATCCAGGCACAACTATTCATAAAAAAAAATATAGCAACACGCAACATCGACAGCTCATGCGAGATCGCGCTAGTCGAATCATTGAACTATTTTGCATTTGAAAGAACCTTGAGCCAGCTGGCAACAGCCATCAATACGGAATTAAACAATGCAAAGAATAAATAATATTCCGATGGCATAGAGTATATGTATGACTGTGACTGTTGATGATATGAAGCCATAATTTCACATCAATATTTAAAAAAAGAAAAGAATAATAATTCTGAAATACCTTAATACTGTCATAGCATGCAGTTACACGTCCTTGTTGGACATCTACGTGAGGAGGAGGATGAGCAAATTTACATTCTTGATCGCTTCGTGCACACTGTCCCCGTTGAAATTCGCGACATACTTCTACCTATAAAATTTACGATTTGCAGGATAGAAATTGAATTAACTTTTTTTTGAAAATTTCGAAAGGCTAAGCTCGTTTGTCATTAACTTCTAGATGCATTCACATAAATGAGGTAAGCGTCATTGCTTAGGCAATAATCCCTTCAAAGGCAGCGATAAAAACCAACGAGAACCAAATATGTGCTTTGAAAGAGCATCATCCTCTATTCGTTGACGTGCATTTGCATTTCGCAAGAGCCTTAGATGCCTTAATTGTGCGCCCCCTCAGAGCTAGAAACAGGCGAGCTGCGTTTCAACTCAATTAAAGGCAAGACTCACTCTCCTAGTTCATTCTACATAAACATACTGTAGCAAAAAGACAGCTAAAAACAGAAAACTTTCAGTTACTTTTACAACATATTACTGTTCGCTAAGCTTTGAAATTCCTAAACCACTTCTTTTTCACTATAAATATTAAGATTGGTATTTGAAGAGCCATGTTCAAAAGCTATAAACACATGAGAATAAACATGATTCTATTGTAAAGCAACGACCTCATGTTTCTATTAGTAAACTAGCAACGCACTTATTTCAAAGAAATTCTACATTTCAAAGGAGAAATCGTAACTCAATTCCAAACTTTCAGGGGTATTACTGAGAGCAAATTGTATAAAAATTGAAAAAAACTAACCTGTAACCATCTAGAATCTTTTACATTTAAAAGTTGTGAAACTAGAGCAGTACTAGGTGCGGCAACATTGCCAGAAAGTTGTCCTGAAGCAAGAGCAGCGGACGGGACTGATGCTACTGAGCCTGCTGGAGCCGTGTTACTGTTCTCGTCATACATACTACTCCAACCCTGAAAAAAAACAGTAAATAGTCGAAAACGAGGCATATGGAGAATTGAATGCATTGGAAGACGATCGATTCAGGCAGTGAACTGGTAAAGTATGAAAGCCGAAATGTAAACTGCACAGAACCAATATAGAATAAGAATCATAGAAGAAAAGTCACATATGAGATTCTCGAGAAATCATTCAATGGTATAGCATAGCATGTGAATCTTGGCTTGGATGCAAATTTCTTAATAGCTGTTGAAAACCCGAAAACAGTTATTGACAGTAACAACAACTAATAACGTAACTCAAGAAAATTAACCAAAACTTGTAAATGGTCATGACTACAAATATAGACATAGTCGAAAGAACTATTTATGGTAGACAGGGAAGAAAGCCTGAAAGGAGGAAAAACATGGATCTGAAGTAAAGACTATTCATAGAGGGGTGAATATGGGGATAGGAAACGGGCATTTGAAATGTGACATGTATATTATAGGAACGGAGAAAGGAAACCATCGAATATACATATGCGTCTGCATACAGAGAAACACAACCGATCAATAGAAAGTGAAGAGCGCCAGAAACAAAAAAAAAGACAAGCTACAATAAGTTGGACTAAACTTTAAGATAGTACCGTTGGGGCCAAGAAAAAGAAGTGAAATATTTGTTTACGAGCCTATTCTGGAAACAAAGTCAGGCAGCCAAATGCAAGCCCAATTGATTGAAAGGCGCGTCGACTGGATAGAAATCAAACTGGACTCTCTCCCTTTCTGTGGTTGTAGAGGTGTGCGGGGTGAAATGACGATCACCATTACAGAAAACCAGTTCATGGCGGGAGGGCTGCTGTATGCGTATGAGCGAAAACACGCCAAAGAAGCGATAAGGATGGCATTATGTTTGTAGTACTGGTAAAATATTTAGAACCGAGCTCGGAAGAATTGCATCATTAGTTCTAGAGAAATAATTATGAAAACAAAAAAAAACAAAGATTCATCGCTGAATTAGGCACGTTTTCTTTAGTGACGAACGTGGGAGCAATGCCATTCAAAACAGAAAAATTACTAGCACGCCAAATAAACACATAAAAGAGACTTCTTCGCAGAATAGCATTATTTTCTCTATGAAGCGCTTAATGGGTAGCTGGCAGCATTTGAAAAATGAGCGTTCAAGGCTGCTTCATAAAATGATGACTGGGTTTTCCCACTAGTTCAACCAAAAAGGAGCTACGAAGTCATCATGCGTTAGAACACAACAAAGAAACCTTTGATGAAACTAAACGAAAAAAATGACTAAGTTTCACCACTAGTATCACTCGGAAATATCATCTCAAATGACAGAAGTATTTGTATGATACATGGTTAGAAAAAGCGTCTGAAGGCAAAACCAAATAGGGAGCGCCACTGGCAGATGGGATCACTGCCTCGAGGAACTCATGGCTGCACTTCGCAAGCCACGCCTCTACAGTAGGACAATGACAAGTAGGTATTGATCTTGAGCAGCCTTGCCATGAAAAGCTTAAGGAACTTCTAGCCCAACGCAAAAAACAGAAAGAGCCAGAATTCGCAATGGAACATTAAATAAATTAGAAACCTCAAAAAATCATTAAGTGTACAAAGGACGGATCTCTGAGCAATAATATAAGAAAAAAGCAATCTAGTGGCACATTATATGAAAGAACTTCTTTCACTAACGCAATCTAAAGCGAAAAATATGTGACGGGATGAAAGACTTACGATTTAAAAAAAAAAGAGATAGCAGCAGACAGCTGAAGGAATTAAGAATAAAGAAGAAACTTTGAATTTTATCAAGAAAACGTAGGAAGGTAGATATAAATTATGGAGGTACAGGTGTCAACGAGAGCTGTCTGTTGGCCTGACGTACACTTTCGCGCCTCACAAGTACTCTCATCACAATGATCAAACAGAGACATAGCAAACCGATGAATACTATAGAGGACTTGCGATAGTTGAGAAAAAGTCCGCATTGAAATCCACTCTATTAAAGATGAACATATAAGAGCCAATGAGACTTAGTCCCACCCTCAACCAAAGTCGTCAATCCTATCAGTTTAGCAGAAGAAAAGTTCTCTAACTCAACACTGCACATTTGACTAGAAAACAAGACAAACTGATTCGAAGATCGCGCCGAGTACACATTCTAACCAAAGAAACCTTTTTTTCGTTGATGAGTAGAATAAATTATACTTGATACAGTAGACGTTTCAAAGAGATACGCTCAATGAGTAATTGCAAGCACTCGATAAGGGAAATGAGAAAAATCCTAGTCATTGAATGTGCTTTTAAGCCACAAAACGATTCTCATTGAAGAATTAAATTAGCTGTTGAAAGGTGTTCTCATCAAGGCGTGAATGTGAAGACCGCAATGAAACCGCAAACCTATACATCGAATACAGGCCGAAAACCGAAATCTAGTTGGAAATTGAGGTGACAGTACAGATTAGATCTATAATAACCTTCAATTATATACATACTTCCATTACGCTATTAAAGTGACGAAAATATTCTGACAACCAGCACAACAATTTGAATAATAATCATAACTTCATAAAGAAGAAGCACGAAAATTGATTTTACCCGAAGTTCACCGTAACTAAAGAATCTATAGATCGGAAAAATTCGATATGGAAAGGAGCGATAGTGGAAATAATTTCGTTGTCTACAACCAAGAAAGAAGACACATCTGTACAGTGTGTGTGTGTATGTCGTTCCAAAGGAAGAAAAACGCCCGTGAGACGTCCATGAATCATATGATGCGCATCCCCTACTGGTAAACACGGGAAAATGAAGGCGCGCCTGAGCAAACGTACAAGGCAACGAACAAGCATATGCAATCAAATGTTAACAAAAGAAAACTTATTCGAAACATTCGACTGCAGAAAATGAGATATGGAGTTTCTCCGTTCACGTCAGTGACTTCGAGGCAACAATGTTCCGAATCAAGCCTCTTCGGGAGGAGGCAATCGGTGAGTAGCGAACGAGTAGAAATAAAAACAAGAAAATGGGCAATCTCATGTGGGACCAAGAGCAAGAGTGTCAATTGCACCTATTACACCGCATTTCGGCTATCCTTGATCGATCTATTGTCCGTCATATAATAGAGCGTAATACACCAGACAGACTAATGATCGCATAATGGATATACATATTCCTTTACTTGTCTTTGTCTTACTATGCCATATAAATAGTGAAAATACGGAGAAAATTATGCGAAACAGTATTCAAAGATCGAAGAATTACAGATAAAACAAAAGTGCTCGCATGCGTGCGTCCGAGCGAACCTTTCCTATAGCGACAGAAACAGGTACACCGCTAAGAAAACAGAAAATAGTGAAGAAGAAGTTCTAGCCAATAGGGTAATAATAGAAGCAATGATTGGGTTGGAACAAATAAACTGTATGACGGACCGTGAAAGGATTAGTCTTTAGACAATCATTGTTATGCAAAAGGCAGACGTCGACCTTCGCGCAACACCGAATGTACAAGTAATCAGAGAAACACAGGAAACAGCTAGGTTTATCTTGATACTCAAACAGTGGCACTCCATTCGGGCTATAAATACTACGAGTATTGAGGACAGTCATTCACGGAAACTATACAGGCTGAAGATGGCCACTGTATGTTCCTTTTCCATCTGACGTATGCCAATATACATAATGTTGGCAATAAAACGTCTTCCAACAGCTGTCATGTATATTCGTTAATTTCGGACACAAATATTCCAAAGAACGCGTTATTTTCCAGCTATCAGTTCGTTTAATGCACATCTATCCTCCCACTTACCCTTTGAACTAGAAAAACTATCTATTCTCGCAAAGCTCTAGCACAAAAAAAAAACGATGTGAATTGCAGGGCGGATGAAAGAATTACGCATTCGGCTGTAAACTTAGGGTTTCGATCTTAGATCATTAGGATACTGATTTTATTTGGACTTATGTCTTAGAGTTCTCACTGCGCGCACAAACCCTACAAACTAAATCTATTTGGAATATTTGGAAGAAAGACAGAATACAAGCCAAATGAACCGCAAAATCTTGTTAATACCGGATTTCTTCACTATATCTATAGTGAAATTGCTCAAATAAAGTCTTCTGGAAATACTATTGGACCTCGCTCATCTATCATGTGTTATGCAAATTACTTAATATGAAGAAATTTGAAATTTCGGGAAAGAAGAGGATTTGGGCTCATTTGACAATGAATTAGCTACTGCTGATATAATTTACATCGATCGAGACGATTATTGAATTACGGAATGTTTGGCTTGGCATTCATGGCCAAATTATGACAAAATTTGTGGGTTATAGAGAGGAATACTCAATAGAAAAACAGTAACAGATTAACAATGGATATAGGACACTCAAGCTTCGTCTAAGATGACAAGAGAATATTCAAGAAATGACCTTATCTGTGTTGCAAACAGAATTCAAAGCGACAGATTCGGCCATCTATCAGTGCCAGTCTCAACAACCGATTTAATCCGCCGCCATATGCGCAGAAGAATGAAACAGTATTTTCAATTACCATAAACGTGGTTTTGCATAAACAAGTAAAACCACCAATCTTTCGTCAATCCTTGATCCCAATTTTGCCCTTTCGGCTTAAAAAGGGACATTCAACACTATATAGTCCGAACTTCATTGGGAAAAGGCAACAGTTTGTATCAACATGAGTGCCCATTCTGCAACTCTGCAACAAAATTAGTCCAATAGAACAGTGTCCATCTCATATTTCATTAACTGCCAAAAGGGAGAAGACAATTAAGATGTTCTTCCTCTCAATGCAGAAACGATTTCTAAAGATAAATGGAGACATTTCGAAATGGTTTACGCAAGCCTATAATTGCAGTATGCAATTAGTGACTTATCTGCTCGAGGATAACCAAAAATGCCTTAGTAATAAGAATATACAATGCACGATAAAGTGCATTGTGATGATCACAAACTGTAACTGGAACGCTCAATTAGAACGCCAGAGCTCTAAAGTTGAAAGTTCCAACAAATTAAAAATTAAGCATAACTAAGAAGAGTGTAATCATAAAACCCATTGGGAATAGTTTACCCAGAGATAATTCGATTAGCTATAATCAGACGTACTCGTTACATGAACGAACATATAACACCATCTGCCATATACTTTCTTTCTTACAATATCCTGCTCTAATTGGAGAGTCGCGAATAGCAACATAAGTCACATAAACAAGGAAGAGATATTACAAGATCTCAGTTAAGGAGTCAATGACCGGCTCTTATTTTTGACGGTCTAAATCCATTTATCATTTTCTATAAAATCATACGTCGAGCCGAAACACCATCTGTCAGGCTATTCATGTATTATGAATGCAAGGAATGGCGGTATGGGGAAAGAATTGTATCCCATTGAGACGAGAGGGCTCATAAGACATCTAGCCTATTTGGAAATGAATCATGCGAAATAGCATCTGTCATTTCCGTGATATGGTCCATCAGCTCATCCCATGTACAAATGAGTCTAAAGAAACAGACAAAAAGAACTACTTGCCGAACAGCATCATATCTTAATCAGGGAGAGAAGCGGAAATAAACAGAGCGGCTATTCTTTCATTACTAGCTTAATTGCATGATTGCGTGCAGGCAACTAGTTTAAAGAGTATAAAATACACATAATTCATGTAATTCACAAGGACATCACAAAAGACAACTCGATACAGCTCATCTTTCAACATGATGTAATGTTCTATGAAAGGCTGATGAGTACATGTCCTCATAACTTCTAAGTTTAAAACAGTCGTAAAGCGAGAATGGGAAAATGGGAAAAAAAGTGAATGATAAAGATAGAAAAACTAGACGAAAGAATAAAGCAACGAGCTTACAAATTGTTCTTCATGAACGTTAGGACTTTCTAACACACTTCGTGTCTGCAAGCCTTGACAGAAATTTGTGCGCACAAGGGATTAACAAGTGAGTTTACTTTAGATCGTCACGACAGGCTCTATACGAAAATGAAACGTATTAAGGAACATTATCACAAAATACTTCAAAATTAACATAAGCATAAAATGAAAGTAGACTTGTATATGAAGCGTATACAATAAAAATCGAATCACATATGCTTGATTCAAGCTGATAAGAACACAGACACCTTCGGTATGATAAGGAAAAGATGTTCTATGAGTAAATAAAAATAACAACTGGTAGTCAGAACCCAAACAGTAAATCGCACTTATAAAACATAATAAGCACATAAGTGATGAATTAGCAAGCTCAAGGTGTTAAGAAGATTACCAAAATCAAAGATAAAGTCAGAGTGCGTAGATCAACAGAAGGTGATTAGTGTAAGCCTTTTATAGCATTACAGTGCAGTTACTATGCCAAGAAGGAAGTGCCAGTCTAGTGGTTAGGCAGATGCTACTCGCATACCAATACAAACATGATTCAAAAAAAAAACTAACTTCGAATCCATTGGGAACAATCCATGGAGTTGAACAATCAGGCATACGTGTTGGAACAACCGCACAGCGAACGTGAAGAATGACAATGAATTTCAAAATATTTAAATTTGCAACGGTTCAGATTTTTTCGCAGTGGGACAGATATTCCTGTCTTCTTAATCAATCAATATGCCAATGAAACTGTGCATGTGCGTAAAAAGTTGATTCTATCCACGAACGCTTTATGTTATCATAGAGCAACAAATTGTATATTTTTTTCTTTATCGAAATAATGCTGTCTTAATTTCTTTTATAAATTGGAGTCTCTTATATAAAAAATATTTGAAAGTGGCAAATATCTGGATGAAAGCATATACTGAGACTGTATGATGGTAATGAATGTGATTATAAGTACAATTACAGATGTGTCAATTCTCTACATGGGAACTTCTTTCTTTTTAAGATTCGATTACAGTTTCTAATTACAATTTAATTTCTTCTCCTTCTTCTTCTTCTCGGTTGTTTGTAAGGTTTTGGGAAGAAATGACAGATGGTCTTGTGTTTGTCCGCTCAGGGCTAAACATCCGTTTACAGAACTTCCAATTACTAAAATAATCACCTAAAATGAATGAAAGCTTGAGATGGACGGGTTCCATTTTCCATTTGTACAGGAGAAGAGAGAACAGAAGATTGCGAAGAACGCTTTGAATGCAGGCTCACATCATCAACTTCCTACAAGAAGATGAATGAATAAACTTCGAAAAGTGGAAAAAACCTCCATCAGCTTTGCTACTTCCAGATCGGATGAATTTTTTTTTTGCGCCATTCTTCCCAACTCTTCTAAGATTTTTTGATTCTCTGCTCTGTTCTCAATCAAGACCTCGGCAACCTGTGAAATAGTGATGAGATATTCACGACAAAAAAAGTCTTCTCTACATTACTCCCTAAGAGGTCGCTGAGTCTAGCAAAGTGTGTTTGAATTTGGTTCAAAAGCTGTCCTTCACAATTCTAAACATGATCGTTCAAGAATGTTCCACGAATAGATTCAGCACCTTTTCTTCCGTCCGAAGAGTATCAACATCTTGCTGTAGTTTGCTCACTTTCGCTTCTATATTTCTCATAGAGTTCAGAACAACATCAAAAAGCTGCAAAAAAGGTTCTTACGCGTTTTGTAATTTTTTTCTCACGGGAATGGTGATGTTGATCTGAGGGGCGTCTAATTTTCCTTGTTTTGCAGTATTCAGCGTTGACTTAGCTGTTTCAGTCTAAACAAAAGATATTGAAAATCTTCGCTCTGCGTTAGTAAATAAGATGTAGTGACCTTCAGTGTTTCAAGCTGTTGAACTCGGGAAAGAATTTGCTCGAGCTTCTCCAACAAAGCTGATTCTCGCGCAGTTACGGGTTTATATCTCTCTTGTTTGCTTTCATTGCTCTTCAAAGGCTATTTTTGAACTGTAACCAAAACAAAAAAAACTCACGCAACTCTGATTAGAGAGAGAGGCGGAAGGTTGATTGTTCTTATATGGGTATCTTGAAGATTGAACTAGAACCACTTTTTGTTCAGGGGTTTCCCGTCTTCTAACAATAGTACGATCGATGGTATCAGACATCTGTAAGAAAGATTGAAAGAAAGAGAAGAGCTCTCACTTCATGAATGATAGCGGATTCACAATTCCTATCAATTATTTTTTTGATAAATCGTTCATGAATAGTACGTTCAGGCATCGTTTAACCTGAAAAGGAAAAAGTAATGAACCAAAAATGTAGAGAAAAAAGGCAAAGAAAGGAGAGGAATGAATGAAATCAAAACGTACAAAGGCGATGAAGTGAAATGAAATGATAATAGTTGGTAGGATTCGTCAGAATATTGTGATTTTTCATTCTTTCGTATTCAAAAACACTTTCAACCTTTTAAACATTCATCAGATGATTCTTCTACAGAACCATTTTGTCTTTATACAACGTATTCTCAATATTTGGAAGTTTATTCAACAATGTTATGAATAGCTGTCACCTTTTTGCATGTGAAAGGCCTATCTCCCAACTATTCCTCTTGTCTTCCTCCGAACCTACCTGAAGTACAGTGGGGACCATGTAATGTTTATCGATTATTTTGAATCATGTCTCTTCCCACCTATTTTTTGACCAATAATAGTATTTTTAAAAATTGGGAACTCACTAACAGACCTAGAAAACTGTTTAATTGTTTTCATCCCCAGTTATAGGTAGGACGCGGAAAGACTTTGTTCAAAATAAGCGCTCATGTTACTATGGTTACCACCCGGTCAATCAACGCACCAGAAGACTCGTCGCATATTTTCCTTACTAAACTGTACTTACTGGTTAAAATTTTGTTTGATTTATTTAACACGTTCTTCAACTTATAGAAGCTCTTACATCTTGGAGCCCTAACGGATGAGGTTGAAAGTTATTCACTCTCGCAGTCCTCGTCACACAGACTCTGTTACTGCTGTGGAATGGGTGAATAGTGAAGAAATAATTTCTTTGGGCGATGACCGTCAAATTTTAAAATGGAAAACGTCCACTATGGAAGCATCCCCACTCAATCATTTGGCTGAGTATTATTACTTTGATATAAACATAACTTATCCTGTTCTGTTCAGAGCGTCTTTCCCAACATCTATGCATTGGTTCCCCCGCACAGTTAAAGGTCAATCTGATATCTACTCTATGACTACAACTGACGGTTCTTCTTGATTTATTTATACAATGATATCCTAGTATATAGGGAAACTTCATATTGTGAACAAGAACATGAAAAGTGAAAAATCCGTTGAGGCTCACAAAGGTGCTGCCATTAGCGCAAGATGGAGCCCCGATGGCAGTGGCCTCCTAACATGTTTGTTTAAAACTAATATATAAACTGTTTGAAAGATCATTCTCGTTACTTTCAGGTGGAGAAGATGGTGCTGTCAAAATGTGGTCTAGGAGTTGCATGCTAAGATCAGTGATCGCTCAATTCTCAAGTCCAGTACATTGGTATGAACCTTTAACTTGCACGAACGTTATCGAACTCGTATCCATTTGGAAATTCAATAATCTACTACTTCTAATTTGTTTTATGTCTTCTCCTCGTTGAAGTTCGTCGACTAAGAAAGAAAGATTAGTAGAAAATACTCCCTTAACTGTGCACCATCTTCTCCTCTGAGCTAAAACGCACGATGCTTGAACACCTCAGAAGTATACTATCAGTGAATGTATCCTTTATTTGGTGTGAATTATCATTAGTAGAGGAAAAAGAATTGCTTTATTGAAATGTATAGCATAACAGAGAAATATAAACTGATTTATACTCATATCAGCGAGTTGGAATACTGCTACACTTGCAGCATGTATCCATGATTTCTTTCTTTCCTGGGTCTGCGCTCTAATGATTGCCTGTGCATGGCTTATTGCTTGAATTGAAGCATGGAATTTGTTTTTTATAGCCTGGTTGAAACTGATTTGTGTTAATTATTTCGCTTGAGAGAGAATCTGAAATTGGGATGCGCTTCCCCTCTGCTTGAATTCAGGAACGGTATTTTCTATTGCTTGATTGTTATGATTAATATGATATTGCATTTAAATCGATCATAACCTGAACCTCGTTTTAACTTTACGTATGTAGAAGGATCTGGGGTTAGCATGATTTACTTTTTTGAACGATTTCTGCTACGCAATTCCTTTTGGATTGATGGAATAGTATCGCCGCAGAACTGCTTGATATTAATAGCTCGAACATGATATGATGCCAGATTTTATGCACGAAATATACTTTTTTGAAACTTGTCTTGGCTCTTCTTCGATATTTGAATTGGGATCTGAAATTGGGATGATTTACCCCTCTGCACGAGTTCAGAAACGGCATCCATCTTGCTTAACAATGACTGAATTTTTTGAGGTTGAAATTTGCTTGAAACTAAGAACGCAAAGCTAAAATGCTCTTTTGTTTCCTTTTTCAAAAAACTTCCGATAACTTTAGAATGGCGAAAAAGTGCCTCATTCTTTTAAGAGGACGTATCAAGCTCAGCTTGCTTAGCATTACTTGAGTTTTACGCTTGAACTCTCAATATCGATTTGTTGTGAATGACTTGATATACCCTGGACACAGTAGCCTTTACTCTTCAACTTGTTAGAAAACCCTGCCTTCTGTAGAGCTTCAACTCCTTCAAACTGTGATCGGTAGGGAAATGATTTTCTCACATCCACGTAATCTTGTATGTGAAGTCTATATACTGATAAAATTTAGTCTGCGAGCTAAAATGAGTTTTTGTTCATTTGCATTAAGAAAACATTCCTTGCAGTATTTCATGGGATAACTCATCTACACGAATTTTGTATTGTAATAATGATAGTTGCTTTATAAAATCTTTGAAACAACAGGTACGTTTCCCCACCAATGAAATTCACATATATTCATTTCTAGACTAACGCTTTGAAATGGAAAGCTCATGATGGGATTGTTATGTGTTGCGATTGGTCACCTCAAGCCGACGTTATCGTAACCGGAGCAGAAGATCTGAAATTCAAAGTCTAGCTTTGAATCATTTTCTTTTCATGTTCATATTATTTTGCAGGTATGGGACACATTTGGTCGAATACTATTTTCCTCGGCGCCTTATGATTACGCGATTTCCAGTATTCGATGGAGTCCCGATGGAACTCTCTTTACTGTAGGCTCTTATAATATGATACGCCTCTGTGACAAAGCTGGAGTCTGACTAATGCTTTTTGGAACTGAATTTATATAATATTCTAGTGGTCTCACTCTCTCGAGAAACTTGGAACAGGATCTATTCTTGAAATGGCTTGGTCTCCTGATGGAACCCAACTGGCTGCTGCAACAGCTGGAGGCCACGTAATTCATGCCCACTTGACAGAAAAGTAGAATGATGCAGCAAACTAAACACGAATCAACACACTTCCAGAAGATTATCATATCGTAATCTGGAAATTGTACAAACAAAGCCTAATATGATCGAGGTTCGCGATGTCAGTAGTGACACAGCAAAAGAGAAACTTGAAACAAGGGACAGAATAACTCGAATTTCTATTAAATATGATTATGTCATGATTATAACAATTACCCAACTCTATATATTCAGGTTACCTCTGCTTGAAAGCCTCATTTACAGTTTTTTCTTTGCAGCTCCAGCAATTGGAACACTCCCGTGATAACAGATCTTAAGGATAGAACCCCTTCTATAGTTATTCAATGTGAAAAGTAATAGAATATTCTCAAAATTATTATATTCCATCTATATTTGAGAATCTTTTTACTCGGCGATGGTGTATTTTTTTATATCTTGAACTATGATGGCAGAACAATCTGTGAGATTAAAGCTCCTGGCGCCACAGGTCCATCTTTGAGTATGTGAAATATGTTTGTAAAAGTTTTAATTGTCACCTTCTGCAGATGAAATGACAACAGCTCTAGCAAACGATACTATCGTGTTTCGTGATCGTGGGGATATCAAAACTCTTCACTTTTTCGACCCATCCACATCTAAGCCACAAGGAGATGGAGCACTAACTCATGAAGTACCGGTCCAGCATTAAACAATTTTATTTTCTTGATTCAGAACGATATTATGGAAGTAGCTATATCTCAAACTGGGCCGTTATCAGAAAGAACGGTAGCTTTTCGAGATCAAAACTCGAATATACATCTTGCTCTAGTTAAAACATATAGACTATCTCAAAGAATAGCAAAAATTGGTTGGTCGCTTGATGTGAAAGAAAATGAATGGAAAAAATCATAATTTAAGGTTCACTAGTCGAACAATTGACATTCAACGATGTCAGCAACATCTTAGCTGGTGTAGCTGATAATCGACTCGGTGAGTCAGCAAAGACTAATAGATTTATCAAGACTGTTCTAGTTGTTTGGCCAGCACCCGGAATAGTGTTCACAGATCGAAGTTTGCTCCCAATATCCGTCATTGAGAAGTCCATCACTGGATTGGGAAGATTTCCATACTTCTTAAGGTGAACCGACAGTAAAAAGTGTTCAAGTTTAGCTTCGACTTTCAGTTTTTCGTTCAATTCAGCTCTCCTGAGGCGTTCTGATGGATCTTTGTTACCAGTCATAATATCACCTTTCCCTGCCGCTTTATTAACACATATTTCTAATAATAAATGGGATCAATCAATTCGATTATGTAGACAAGTCAATGTGAGACATTTTTTATTGCCACGCTTAGATTACTTCCGTACTTAAGGACAACGTATTATGGGCGATTCTGGCTGGTCTTGCAGTTCAGGAAAAAAATTTGTTTGCTGCAGAAATAGCATATGGATCTCTCGATCAGGTACGATACTCATGACTATTATGATTCTTCAATGCAAATAAACTGATTCATTTTCAAACAGACAATCAGGTGGAATTAATATCAAGTAAAAAAAATGATTTTAGGCCGACAAAGTTACTTTTCTTGCTGAGGCTCGGAACTGCCCAAACAAAGACATTCGAAACGCTATGCTGATAGAGTTATCAGGAAAAGTGAGTAGGACTTAATATACTTAAATCCAGATTGTTTTAGATAGCAGATGCTGACATACTGTTAGAAAAAACTGGAAATATCTTTCAAAGCATAATGTTAAACGTGAAAATGTTCAGATGGGACAGGTAAGTCTTAAAACGTAAACCCTGCCTATATATGGTTTACAGAGCAATCGATATGGCAATAGCTCACAGGAAATACTTGGAAATTGTCATGGGGTATAGACAAAGATACTTGAAAGAAATGAAGCGGAATGAGACAGACCCGAAATACCTCAAGTACTCGTCAGAGGTAAAGCAGAATTTAGTAAGAAAACAAAAAGAGCTTCGTTCCAGGTGGAGATTGACTTTGAACATATACGAGAACTCATTTCAGCAGAAACTAAGAAATAGGAGATGAGCTTCCTTGACTGTCTTTGAAATAAGATCGAAGAATCGACAGTTTATTCTTTAGTAGAATTGTCGTATCCCTCACCTGTATATAATGAAGGAATTTATTTTCTTAGACGATGTACGTACCTTTGGCACCCATTCTCTAGAAACAGTTACTTTGTCTAGGATATCTTCAAAGTTTTTCTTCACTCCCGCGAAAGCTTCCTTGTATGTCTAGAAAAATGTTTTAGTTGTTCAGTAACGAGAAAAGAAAAACCGATATAAAGCATTGATCGAGATCCTTGCGGTCACTGACGTAATCTATCCATAAGCTAGCATATGAGATGAAGGAGAAGAAATCTACTTGAACCCAGAAACACTCCCTCAATAAACCTGCCTGAAAATCAATCATATCTTGTTCACTTTAGACGAAAAGCTATATGCGCATTCAAGTTGTTATCTTGTATCAAACGTACTTCCTCTTTAGTTATGTTCGAGTCATACAGCCTTCTCAGCTTCTCGTCTATCATCTCCAGTCTTGCTTCGTTGCTCTAATTGGAAAACTACAGTCTTTGAATATAGCTTCGTATCGCATACCAGAATGGTTTTTACTTCAGCGTTCGAAGCATTGAACTTCTCTCTGGATTTTTCAAGTTTTTGCACGTCGACTTCTCTTTTCGTGAGCACTTCAAGATCGTTCTGCGCAATATGGCCATTTCTGAAATATCATACTGTGAACATTATGAAGATCACTTACACTGCGACGCAGTGATGAGATTCATGATTCGTATTCAATTTTCTCAAACAGTTGAAGCAGAAAAACGCATTACAAGTACATCGCATATAGTTGCATCCCTCTGTTTTCTGTACGGGAGTCTAAAAACTCGTTTCACTGGATGTTACGCGACTATCACAAACTTCGCACACAGGACAATATTTCGTTTGACCAACTATGTATCGCAATGTGTCCAGATCCTCTTTAAAACTTTTATTGTCTGCTTTAAGAAGAGTCTACGATTGAAGGCTTAGAAAAATTTCATTCACTAGCAACTCACGTCAACCAAATCGCAACGAACGGGCTCATGAGGAGCTGCTTCGCATTTCGGACAGAACCAGTGTGAGCACTCGCATCTCACATTCAACACACCCGCTGTATTCTACATAACGTTAAGAAAAAAAAAGAAAGAAAAAATTACTTTAACATAATTGTGACATTTCGGGCAATTGTCTATATTCGGAGACCTTTTGATAAAGTTGCTTAACAGAAGATTCTTGTATTTATCAAAATTTTGTTCGTCTCCGTCTAAAGCTAATCTGAAGCATAAGCGTTACAGTTAAACGAGCAAAACAAATATACCTGACTTGCTCTATGGTTAAGCAGTAACTGCATCCATCATCATATCCTATGCAATTGATTAAGATGTTTTCCATAGATATTTGTGCTTTTACATGTCCTTTCCAGCAAGCACTGCAAATATTGTGACCACATATCAAGCTTCTGAAAGCTTTTTTCTCTTCAGTGCAAATCGTGCAAATGCTTTTCTCTGCGAAAAAAAAGAATTTAGGTATCATGTGGTAAAGCTTTACCTTGCTCATTCAGATTAGAGAAACGTGTAGTGATATCTACTTTATCCTGAGTTATATTCTTGATAAGTGTCTCGTTTTCTGACAAATTCTGTGCAGAAATCCCATTTCTAATTAGTGTGGTTAGGGCTCTCGCCGGAGAAATATTATTTTCTTTAGCAAATGCATGGTAATCTTTAGTGAATTCCTCATATAGACTAGCGGCATTATGAAACGGAGTCTGAAGAAAACTTCAAGAAGTATACAAATGAATGGAAAATCAACTACGAAACCTGCCGATCTTCTAGAACGATGTCGGTGAAAACGTCCGAGAGGAGAAGCGTTTCGTCCATTAGTGCTGAAGACATAATGACACGTTTTTATCAGAGTACTTATTGATGTGTTGCGAAATTCAAATAGCGAAATCGTAAATATTTACGCGCAAGTGCTGTTCATAACTCATGCTGGTTTAGGACCTATGATAATAGCTTTTATATTCCGAAAATTTCCATGAAAAATAACTTTTTCAATCCCCAAATCATGATCATCGAACCTTATATTTTCTAAACGAATATCATGTCTTTCTGCTAATTTCTTATTAATCTTCATTTCATGTAAGAATTACATTAATACTCTCGGCTAAATTCTGGCGATCAATGGTACAAAGACGCCAATGGAACACAATGCATGCGCCTTTCAGGTCTCTATTGGTTTTACTACAACTTTGTCTTAAATTAGTCTTTTTTCATTAAATGTTCATAGTTTCGCAATTTTTTTTATAAGTTTTCTGTTATAATAAGATGGACACAATTTCAGTACTTAACCACTATTCAACATGAGTGAACCTTCAGTCATTCAACTGAGCAGAGCGGAGGTTGGCTCATTATTACATTTTCTTATTAAGAATATTATTTAAAGGTTTATGTGAATAGCCTTTCCTTTGGTGGTTCTGATGCTGTTGCTGCTGCTTTGAGTACCAACTTCATACATCTGGTTGATTTGAATGCCAAGAAAACTAAACAAACATACGATGTAGCCAAAAATGTTGTTGGAATTCATTTTGATTTGTCCGGGAATGGAGCAGGTGTGTCCATACTTTTCTAATCAGCTATCACATCATACACTACAGTTCTGCGAGCTGTGGATGACAGTTTTGGAATACATCTTTTCGATGTTCGCTCAGGCTCCAAGAAGAAATCGAGGTGACTAGTCCTAAATATATATTAAAGCATTATGTTTTAAGACTTAATCCAATAGTTGAGAATCATTTGGTTACGTGCTCCGCTACTTCTGATAATTACATTGCATTAGCTAGCTCCACTTTCCTTCAAACAGAACCTAAGAAGAAGAAGAAGAAAAACGATGGTACCTCTTCAGAAGATGAGGTAAGTGGAAATAGATCCCAACTTTTTTTAGCTGAAACACTTTTAGGATGAAATAGACGAAGCTGCCATTCCTCATGTTGTTTCTATATTTGATATACGTGGGACCACTGAACCGTTGATTACACTCAAGGTTTTTTTTCATGAAACATCATTCGCCTAATTTCTTTCCAGGAATCGCATAGTGACGCTGTTAACTGCTTGGCTTTCATGCGTGATGGTAAACATCTAATAACAGGAGGTTCTGACGGACTTATAAATGTCTTCGATGTGTCTATGTCAAATGAAGATGATGCTTTGAAGAGCACAAATCAGGTTCGCCCATTCAACGTAACCAACCTAACAGTGTTTCCAGGCTGAGTCTTCGGTTGCAAAAGTTTGCTCTCTTTCCAAAAGATTGTTTTATGGATGTACTGATGATAATAAATGTGTTGTATATTCTCCGAATAGTCCTGAAGATGTGGATCTCCTATTCAAGTTCGTGAATATGTCGAAAGGTTAACTACATTCATGGTTCTAGGAAATCTGCCCGTCCGGATCATTTCCTAGTCGATTTGTTGAAGGGTGGACAGGAAGAACGTCCAATAGCTATGATTGAATGTGAAGAAAGTGGAAAGGTAATTTTCATATCAGTCATTTCGTTCATCTTCGTTTATAGGTTTCTCTTTCAACTGTTTCTGTTGATGGAAAGCATTCTGAGATTATAGAAGAATGGTCTGGACACACAGATATTGTAAGAAGTACCGCTTATAACAATGGCTTGCTCGTCACTGGAGGAGAAGACGGTAAAATTGTTGCCAAGCAAATTGACTTAAGGTGAGTGTTCCATTATAATTTATAATCGTATTCTACGTTTCAGAACATCGGGTGGAGGAAAATCCAAGAAAGAGAAAAAGAGTAAGCATAAGAGCTTCTGAATGAACTGTCCTTATTTCGGGTTGTTGTTAATTTCCTCAACTATTTATTCACATCATTTGTTAATCAAAATTGCTGTTAAGTAATAATATACCTCACGCTTATGGTTTCTCACTCATTTATGTTCCTATGTTTTTGATATATTCTTGAAAGAATTTCTGTTCCTATTTCATTTAGTTCAGGTTCTTAATTCTGAGTTCACTTTCTTTTGGCTTGCATTATTTCAGTTCCTTATTGTATTAATTTGACAGCATTCAATGAAGTATCATTTTTGTTAGATGGACGCACCCAGAATTTGACGTAATGTGTTCTCATCTATGAACCAATGTTAACTGTTTCATTTGAACTATGCTGATCGCCAGTGGTTACTTGAATAGTAAATTCTGCTCAAGAATGCTAGAATTATCAGCTTCAGTACGAGTACGTGAAAACTGATTTTCCTCACAGCGAAATCAACCGGTTACTGACATGGTTGTTATGAAAATGGATTGGCTTTCAGTGCGGAGCCACTCTATCGTTCATTCAACTGATTGCGTATAAGGAGCTTCTCGATGAGTGTGAAAATTGGATTGTTGAGACATGATTTACATTTTTAAGAATTTATGTAAAATTAGAAGATCGTTGCATAAAAACGATAAGGCTGAGAAACATGAATTACAGATCTACGATAGAATAACAACAATAATTATGGTCTATAAATGAAACAATATAGAACACAGATGTGAGATAACACAGAAACAGTTTGCCGATTAATAAAATATAATTATAATAATTAAAATAGATAAATGGAGAAAGTTTAAGAGTTAAAAGGTTCTGTACACTATTGGAATGTTTGTGAAGTCTTTCAGATGCATAAAATATGAATATGATATATTTAAAGAAGAACTGTACACTACTGGCAAGATGTGTAGCTGCTGAACGGAATCTAAGAGACCGTGAACTAAGAAAAAGAGAATTGGAATATTAGATCAACCAGTCAAGTAATCGCCTAGAGATAGATAGGTAAGATCTTTTCCGAGGCTATGTTTAGGCTGAGGGCAATGTTATGAACCCGGATTGATAAATAAGAAGGAGGCAGTGAGAACAAAAATATATATAAAACAAAATGATAAAAACAATGTATAAAGGCTTTTGGGGGTCCCGTAATGATAAAAGGCATAAGAGATCAGCGCTTTAGGGAATAGGGCGCCAAATCAATTCCTAGAAATGACTACTAGTTAACAGCTTAGTGGGCAAAAGGTGGTTTTTCTCCTGCTCATATTCCTGAGCAAGAATGATACAAGAGAAAATGTAACCGAATAGAAGTAAAAGCTATATGACGATTGGCTGGGTAGCTCTTGTAACTTAAAATACGAGACTTTGAGACTCAAAATACACTAAATGCTAGAAGAGACGAAAGAACTTGTGAAAGTTTCTCTATAATTCATCAGATTAATAGAGAAAGAGTTTAAATGAAAAAAATGGTTGAGTTCAGTGATCATAAGTAGGCAATAATTGGATTTGTTCTCTTCCAGATGTTAACATCTCGCACAGCAAGGAAGCTCGATCTCCATTTGTGATTTCGTTCTTGTTCTCCAGTAAGAACTGTACACATGTATGAGCAAATTGGCTGAAAATAGAAATAATTAGTGAATGAGTTTGTGAATCCCTCTTTCATGTTTGATGGCTATTATTTGAATTGATCAGATTCAAACCATATAAATGGCAAAACATGTCTGTATTCGTCAAAATCTTTTGGCTCATCACAGAAATTGCTTGTCAGAATTCTTTCAATCTAATTACGATACTCTGAACATGCATTTATTTTTTATTTCATAGAATGCCTTCAGTAGGATAATTATCTTTCTAAAAATGTAGCTCAAAGCACGCTCAAGGACATATTCTCTTCTTTTTGTCTCCTTTCTATCACTTTCTCTGTTTTTATTCAAACCAAGTATTCATTGGACATGTTAGCAATATCCAATTGAATCTCTCTTTCTCTCATTAATGTTCTTTTGCAAATAAATATTTTTTTTTCATTTAGAAGGTAAGCGCTAGCATTTCTTATGAAAACACATTAACATTTTTTTTAAGCAAGAGAGGTTGGGAGAAAGCAAAAGAAGAAAATTGACAACCAATTGTCGTCCTTGAAACTTTGCGGCTCTCTCTCTATGTTGATGTGACCAGTCAGAACTGTGAAGACAGCCGACCACCTATTAAGAAGGTATTTCCCTCCTTTCCCTCTTCCATCAGCTCTCATTTTTTTAATAAAAGCATTTGGAATAAGGAAAAGTTTTATGAATAGAGTGACCTTATATGACTTTTGAGAAGATTGAGCACTTGAGATGAATTTGTGAAGATTCATCGCAGTGGCCATGACCGCCAACTGTGCTTGAGCAATTTATATGCAGATCTTGCTCTGACGTTACAGATTCATGACTTGTCAATTAGAGCAATCTTCTATTGTATTCGAAATAAGGAGCTGTTGAATTCTAATCTCTATTTGTTGTAAATGTTCTAAGATTTCTTATAAAAAATGGAAACAAAAGTGACCAATGGCACGAGACTGACAACTATTTCCTTTTCTATGTTAATTCTTTACAGTTGGCTGAGAGAAAGAATAAACAAAAGATTCAGAACATACTGTAATGGCACAGTCATAATGTCTCCTATCCATATAACATATGATATTAAATGAAGCGAAAGAATTGTTTCTTCCCAACATTTTGCTAATCATAAGTATATCTCATTCATCTATCACAAGGTCAAGTAAAAGTAAGAATAGCCATGTGAACGGCAAATTAATCTTTTTAATCGTTTTTTTCACTATATACAAGGAAAAGGAAAATCGCTTACTTGATTTGGTAAAGAATTTCATATAAGGGTCGGGTGTTCAAAGGACCTCCGCGGTAAATCTCCCAAGCCTGCATGAGAGCATGTCGACAACTGGCAACATTTGATTCTAAGCTGAGATCTTCTGAAATATGAATAAATGAATGAGCATTTATTTATTTTGTGAACGTACGTTGTTCTTGGAGTAGGGCCAGGAAACGAAGAGCGGCATAATCATATCGACCAACTTCTAACCGTCGCATGAGGGTAACAATTTCATTCCATTTATCCAAGTGAACGTTGCACCCTAATAAGGCTATGAGACCAACAGGGATTCTGAAATCGTAATAATTACTTAATCCTTCTTTTTCTTGAGGTTTTTTTTATTAATCTTCTCGGTGAACCCGAAAGTAAGGTTAATCCAGTCAATAGGGTTGCCGGTGGGACTATAAAAGTTATCCCTTCCCAGGTCCCCATCGGTATAATGTCCCGTTAATCCTATCTATTACCATTAACGTAGAAAATATCAATACAGAAAATCTATATCGTAAACCGTTTGTTGTCAAAATATGCCGCCGTTTCGTTATGGGAGCCAATTAGAGCTATCTCTAACTGATTGCAATCGGATCTACCGTTACGCAATCAGCCATCTCTCTTTTCTTCTTCTCATTTTCCAAAAAAGGAAAGGTGTATGAAGAAGAGATGTGTTTTGAAAGAAATGAAACTTACGTTCGTCCAACGCTGATTTCGATGTAATCACTTCGGAGGGAAAATGTTGCAACAGCATAAGTAAAATCTATGATATGAATAGCTGCCCATGAGTTTCGGAGCATGGAAGTCTTCTGCTCAATCTGAAAATGATTCAAGATAAATCGGATTGTTCGAGTCAATTATTTCATTCAAATCTCAATTGAGTTTCAATTAATTGGGGTTACAGTACTTTCTTGGCATTATAATGGAATGAATGGTTTGGGGACAGTCTGGCACTTGATTACCCATCCACTTCAAATGACCATACATAGGTGTATTTATTGTACCTCTCATTTCACCCTTTTCTCTCTGTTTTCTTTTCCTTTCTTCCTTTATATTGTTTCCAATTAAAACAAGGAAAAAAGTATTTTTTCTTAAGTTCATGACCGGCCAATTACGATCTCTTGAGCGCGGAGCTCTTTGAGCTAGCGGAAACTTGTGAACTGTCAGAATGTTCCTTTTCATCCACAGTTATGAACATATATCTTTTGAGAATTGAGTAATCTGACAAACGCTTTCTTCCGGGTTTACAATGTTCCGGATGTTGCATAAGAACACAACCGTTTACGAACTTTTAGAAACTGTTTACATAACACAGATGAAAGGAAGCGAAGAAACTCACAAGTAATTGACCGAAGAATGGTGCAGTCTTGGCCCAACTAACAATTTGATTCAAATTGTCTTCAACTGTTGCCAAAACAAACTCAAATGGCTCCATATGTTTTGTGATTGGCCGACTTAACATATTGTATATCCTTGAAAAAAAGATATATTGAATATTAATATCTTGCTTGTTTACCTATTCTCTGGTGGTAGGGCTGTCACAATCATATTCATTAGGCTCGAGTCCTTCGGTGTACTGTACAGCACAGAATCGAATGTTTTTTCAGTTGGAACAGGGCATATGGGTAAAACTGGACTGGATCGGTTCGAGCCGGCAGATCCTGAGCTTGTTGAACTCAAAGGTGCCATGGTTGTGGCTATTGTCATAGGCACATTGGCGTATGAGGCTGGAGGGTGGAAAGCTGAGTAGTCATTCACATGAGGTTGGGATGATAGTTGGAACGGCTAAAAAAGAAAAATATTTAAATAAGAAAATTTCTCAAAACCTGTAGATAAGGTTCGGAATACTCGAAAGGTTCGTTCTTAACAGTAGGGTAAACAGGGAATGTTGGCGTTCTTAATAGCTGGTCATCGATGGAAGATCCCAGTAATGCAGCTAAGCTTTCACTATCTCCTGGCATGTATGCGCTTGGGCGAATGATGAAATCTGAAAGTTATTTGATTAGAAAGCGGGAAACAAGCAGATTGAGATAAATAAATCGAAAGAAAAACGAGAATTACTGACTTTGATGATTAGGCGTACTACTTGACAAAGTTGGGCTTTGTAATAAAGCGTCATAATCGGCCTTTTTATGTGTTTGAGTATCGAAGTACTGGATATGTGCTGATTGATCAGGTGTACTGAAATCAGAACTAAGTTTACAGGTTGAGTTAAGAACATATAAACTATGGTTTTAAAAATGATTTACCTGCTTGTTACTTGGTGATCCATCGATGGCACATAAAATACGTTTTGGTGAGGAGCAGTTTGTTGAGGAACTGATCCATTACGAGCAGCTAAGTTTGATCTCTGTGCTTGAGCACGTTGGGCACGATCTCTTTTATAATAGGAGCCAAACTTGTTTCGGCCTCCTCTCATGCGATCCTCACGCACAGCTGTAATAAATTATTATTAAACAACGATCTAATTCTTTTTTTTTTCGATTTCATGTTTTGTTCTGAGATTTTTAAGGTATATCAGTTCAACCCTCTCGCCATCATTACAACTTGGAGAAAGATAATTCTACGTCAAGTACCAGCTGGTGCCAGTTCGCCATCAATTTAGAAGGGCTGAAGTATGGAAGACGAACAACTAGCCAAAGTTAGCAGAAAGTTAACGTCAATGACGACGGCAATATCACTTTGTATGGAAAAAGAGAAAAGATGAGGTGGGGAGAGAGAGCCGATTTTTTTCCATTTCCTTCTCTTCTCTTTTTGTGTGGAGAAAATGGAAAAAATCGACCCCATCTAAGACTGTATGTTGCCGATTACGGTAATCGTCCAAGTGTTTGTTGGCCCTCGAATTCGTTTCAGTTCAATGGAACCATCAGTTAATACCGTATTTAGAAGTTGTGCAAACTACGTACTCTAAGATTGGTCATTCAACAACTTAACAAGCTCATTTCCAATGAGTTCAACTCAAAATGTTCGATGAACTCGATGGACAAATGAAATTGTATGTGTTCCCCTTTTCACTTGAAAAAAATTGAAGAATAGCTGTGGTCTATTAGACTGTCGGCTCTTCTTCACAATTGGGTACTTTGAGGTAAAACACAGGTTTCAATAGTTTGGACATGCTTATTATATCGCACATGTCTTTTAGCCAGCCGACCAATTTCTCACATTTCGTTACAAAAGTAGTGGAATGGAGCATCTGAATAGGATTCTCCCCTCTCTTGTTTTTCTTTTATCTTTCCATAACCTATGGTTTGTAGTGCCTGCTCTTAGTCTGAGTTCTTCTTTGTTCTAATCCTAGCCCCTCATTATCTGTGCGGGACCAGCGGTGTCAAGAGCTAGATCTGGGTGTGTGAAGGTATCGCCAAAGAGCCAGCCGCCCCATCAAGTCTCATTTGATCCGGTATGAGCTACTGCTCTACCGTTTAAACCCGCCAATCCCCTCACAAAAAGAATAAAACCATCATTTTTTCTAAATCGAACCCTCTGTCTTAAGTGAACAAAGGAATTTATGCGAGCCTCTGATGATTTCCCTTTCTATGACGGTTGGACCGTAATTATGGTGGAGATGATGGTAGCTATAGCTCTTCTTAGGATTTTTTTAATTTCCTTGTCTACAAGAATGGCCTTCAGCCAAACTAGCCAGGTAGAAAAACTGCTGCCAGCTCTTCTACAAAAAAGCAGAAAAAAACGGAACAGACACGAAAAAAACGCCAACGGCGACATCCCAAGGCTGGGTGAAAGTGTCTTCAGAACGGGACCGGACTGTTGAAGGTTATCTCCAGGCTAATAGATAGTTATGCCGATTGGGATGAAAGCGAATTCGAGATTAATTATGACAAGGAAAAAATGCTGATGAGGGTTGGCATGAATGGAATAGCCCTCAGACAGTCGTTCCCAAGATGATTTCTACGGTTTCGATCTAGTCTTAGCTTAGGCTACTTCTAGCAGCATGCTTGCTAGCCGGCTTGTTGCACTTCGTTTATCCAAACCTGTCACCAAATATGTCGCTAGCCTATTGAGGTTAGAGAGAGAAAATGAAAGAGAGAGGAGGTGAAATATGGAGAGAGAAAGTTTCTTTCTGGATTTAGCCTGTACAACAAACTACAACAGCAGGTGATTGTGAAAAGACATGTTCTAATTGAGGAGAAACATTTGAGTCTATCTGGTCCTATAAGGACTTATGCATATTTCTCTACCTGTTACCATATGTAGGAAGTAATTCATGACAGACATCTGTGAACGTAATAAAGCAGATGTTCTGATATCTACTTGGAACGTTCCTTTTCTGCCTGAGGGCAGAATGTTCTTTTGTCTATCCGAAAAGAAACCCAAGATGAACGAAACGATAAAGAACAGATGCAAATAACATTTTTTGAAGTCGACATGTAGGGAGAAAGGTGTACAGTACTACATCAACAAAGTTAATCGACTAATCCATTACACCCCCCTCTGAGAAGATGGTTGGCCATTAAAAATTGCTTCAAGATTCTTCATATTTCGAAACTTCAAACAGTTACTTTTCTAAGGTAATTTTACCCCTGTGTTCGTTTTACTTCTACCCTATGAAAAACGAGAACGAAGGGTTGGTAGGGGTTGAACGAGGTGATGGGGGGAGGGTCTGGGTACTAGATAGCCTGCAGCTCTCAAATCACCATCAATCGATTTACCACCAACCCAGATAGCAATGAAGAGAGTCAGACAGATTCAAATAGGAAATTGGAGAAACAGAATAGCTAAGGGACCGGTTTTTTTTCGCTTTGATCGCTTTTGTTGCTACTCATGCTATCCAACCGCCACCCCCAGCGCCAACTCTCTCCCTCTTTACTTCTCTCTCTCACTCTTTTTTTTCCTATCAAAGCGTCAACGGCGTAATGGTTGCAAGATCTGGCATCTCTCTTTCTATTGCTACCTTTTAAGGGTTAGAAAAACTACAAAATTCATGAAAACGTCTTTGTGCTGAAGAATTCGAAGAGACTAGCAAAGCTCGCAAGTGGATTGAACTGTAAACGAGATGAGACTTGTCATACTGACATTAAACGGAGCTCAATTGAGAACAAGTAAGAAGTAGGAAGAGAGTTGAAAAAAAATGCAATAAAATGACGAAATAAAGAAGTTCCAAATAACTCACCTTCAATTTTCATTCCTTGTCGAATGCACTTGTCGAAACGGCATTTTGGGCACCGTTTCCGACAAGATTTGTCAACGTGACAATTGGCATCAGTTGAGCATTGATATTGCTGAAAAACAGAAAGTATGAAAGGAAGTCAAAAATATTATAATTTTTCTTGATATTTCCAAAAAAATTGTCGAAAGAAATGGATGTCAATGAGGAAACTCAATAAATGGAAGGCATTGAAGATTAATTAAAACTTTCTATGAAATTGGTTCAAATACTGACAAATTGAAAGATGAAATTCAGCAGGTGACAGATTGGAAAAGTTTTTTTTTCATAAAATTTTCGAAAATAGTTTATAAGAAAGTTGAGCTGGCTGGTACTGTAAAGAGTTTGTGAAGGGTCAGCCCAGTAGGGAGCCTTATTAGGTAGTTTAATATAATTACTTTTCATCAGATTAACAGGTAGCTGGCTCAGAAACAATATGTTCAACGAACGAAAATAAAGGCAGAGCTATGACTTTATGAAGAGATTAGATGATGGTCAAGTAAGTTTGAGAAGACTGGAGGTCGTAAGCATGGAAGACAAAAATAAAAAGTTGGAAACAAAATTTTTCAGAACCAGAAACAATGTAGGAAAAACAAAAACATAACGGAAGAGCTAGAGTGAGAGCGAGTAAACTCTCGGTACAACTGACCTTCTTGTTCTGGACAGTCCGCTTGAAGAAGCCCTGTAATGAAGTGAAGGTTAACTTGAGGTCACTTTAAGTTGGAGGCCAGCCTTACTGTCCTTGGTCTACGTTGTCGTCGTCGACGATGTTCTGCTCACAACGTCGTCAGTGTGACCCTGAAGCCCAGAAGTCACGACGATGACCACGACGACCACGAGGACAAGGCTAACTGATGAAGATGAACGAACCTTGCACGATTCACAGGTGAGAAGTCCATAATGATATCCGGAAACTTTATCTCCACAAACTGGGCACGGCTCCTCATCGAGCGACGGCTTGAGCGCCATCTCCACACCTACCATATCCCGCACACGCGTCGTACTCTGACTGAAGAGCGCTAGGTAGAGGCCGGACGAAGGGAGGATGAGGTGTCCGTCGTCTTTTTTTCTCTCACTGTCTCTATCTCTCTTGTCACCAAACGATCTATAGTGTGTACCGTCTAACTCTCTTGCACTATCCGAGCTCGCCACTGTCTCTCGTTTTGCTTTCTACACACCCACCTACGGTATCTGAATGGCTCCGCCCACTACTGCCGTTGACGAAGTTATGTTGTCTGAACTCTCCGCAAAAAAAATTCTCTATTCGTTACGGTGTTCCTGAGGGCTCTTCTGAAGGACGGCACGCTTCGTAAGACAGTTTGCCGAGCTCAGCTGAGGGCTAAGATGGGGTTTGCCTGGAAGAAAACGTCTGTCTGATTTGCATGAAGAGATTTTAACACAAAGAGCACGAGGGTGAGGTATGAGCAACACGTAATGACATAATATATACTAAGATAAATGCATTAAAACCTTGGAAAACACGAGTTTTTCCGTATCATATGGCTTCTCTTACTAGCCTAACCGAAAGTTGTTAGTTTTCCAGGGAAAGGCAATGCGACAAGCCTGGGGGTGACATGATGAAGAGGAAAGGCATCGAGGTGGTGGGGAGAAGGGGGGGGGGAAGGAATTGTAGACAAGATGATGGCCAAGGAAGAAGAGAAAAACCTGTTGGTAGTATGTGTCTCTACTCTCCCGGCGACGACCAACAGCATCAGCATCATCAGCTTTCTATAGCATTTCCATTCTTGCGTGCCTCTCCCTCTATCTCTCTCAACATTTTAAAATACTTTTTCTTTTTCTTTAACCATAAAAGAAGAAACAGAGAAAGCTGTAGGATTGTCAGCTTGTATGGGCAGATGCAACTTTCTATTGACAAAAGCCTCAAATCCTCCATTCAGTCCGAAGCGATCGTGGATTGTGAACAGCTTTTGGCGTCAGAATTTTTACAGGGGGGGAAGCGATCAGCTGAAGAAGAGCTAAGATGAGATTGTTCTAGGACCCGAGAGAATCGAACTGAAAAAAGTTGAAGGAAGTGGGTGAGGAGAAAAAAATGGGATACTGGTTGCCAAAAAAGGTTCGAATGAGACGAAAGTGAGAAGCAAGAAGTAGGCGAAAAAGCTGAAGTTGAATAGAAAAACCGGATGAAGTAAGCATGGCTGCCGATTGAGATATCGCAAGAGAGAGTGCGAAAAAAGCTGGAATGGAAAGCGAACACGGCAAGAAAAAATCGGAATAAACTCGAACCAAAGCAATCTAAAAAGCTGTTGGCGATGGCTTAGAAGTGGAACGTGTTGTTCCTAAAATGAGAAAAAACTATAGTTTTTACAGTTATGACATATTGAACTTCAACGATTACGTCATCATCCGTTGAAATTCAATGATGCAGCTTTTCAAATTTCAGTAAATGAAACTTTCCTAATGGGGATAAATGCCCCGGTCATGGGTACACGTGCCATTGGCTCCCAGGTAGTTAAGTGAATGCAAAGCCATAAATGGATTCAATAAATCCAACAAGTGACTTAAAGATTATGCTATTAGGTAAATAAGCTATTAGCAGTATGCAAATTAGGTGGCAGTAACGTCTTATATATGATCATTTACAACATCAGGTTGAATAACCATATTTTATGAAAAAAATAGATAAGCCCAATAGAGATACCGAACCGGAGAGAAGTCATTAGCATAAAATGCAAAAGTGGCTAATTCATTTGGTCAATCATCATCTTTGAGAATAATCATGGAAGTCTAGTTCTCCAGCCAACACAATCTGCAAAAGGAAGTTACCGTGCCTATTTCGGTATGAGTTTCTTATCAAGTGATAAGAACTTTCGGATAATTTTGATGAATTTCCTCATAATTATCTGTCGTCGTTGTGTGTCAAATGGAATTCAGTACGTGTGGCAAGGAGGTGAAAGTGAAGGTCATTGTCAGATGTTCGGGGTGGGGTCGTCCTTGCTCTTTCCCGAATAAGGGAAAACCCTAAGAAAACCCTTATCAATTTATTATTGGAATCTGTGATTAGGAAGAAGTCTCTTCTTAATTCTCTTCTCGTCTTCAAACAGACAGACTCTTTTGGACAGTTTCTGAGATCCAGACCATCCCTGCTGTTGGCAGTTTTGTTGACATTCTATATTATTTGTTTCGCTTGTTCACTTGCTTTTTTAAGTTTTTTCTTTGCAGAGAGAGAGAGAGAGAGCGATTATTGAGAAAAAAGAAATATCTTATCAGTCTGCCCAGAATTCATTCATTCACGCAGCAGGTAGTCTCAATCGCTGTCAATTATTGTCTCTTTCTCTTCCTCCTTTTCTCATCATTTGTCATTTTCTTAATTTTATTTCATTTAAAGCAATAAAATAATCATTTGAATGTTTGATAAATCATAAAAATTCAAATGATTATCTCTTTCTCTCATTTCTCACAACTCTTTCACCGATTTTTAAAGCTCAAAAGGACATTCGATTTCTGTACTTTTGTGAAAGCTTTGAAGGGGATTAGCTTAGTTGTATACGAAGGATGTCTACTTCACTAAGAGATTCTTATCGTCTTTCGAAAGTTTTTCGATTTCTTTCAAAAAATTCTTACGGAACAAACGAAAGTTAATCTATTCATCTTAGTTCAGGTGGATTAAAAGTTTTTTTAAAAACCAAAAAATAAGTTTATTTGTTATTTTCCGACAATTTTGTTCATTTTCACAAACGGCATCGTCACGTCGAGAGGTCAGATCGTATCTTGACGGCATCGAACTGATTGTGATGTCGGAAAATCACAGATGACGGAGCAGTCTGAGAGACTAGTGGGATTTTCAGTTCTGACAAGTTGAACGGACTATTAAGCCGATAATGAGAGTCTTTTTTGTGAAAAAAATGCCGACGGAAGTTGGAATGATAAGAATAGCAGAGAGAACGATCTCATCTTGTTTTGAAAAATAAATAAAATCAGATAGCTGAAAAAGGATATAAAAGGCTTTTGCTTCAAACTGGACATTTTGCAATAACCGGAAGATAGAGGAGCATGCCGATGGGAGATAAAATTCAAAAATTATTTTGTTCATAGCTTATGTGATGTGTTGATACATCAAGATCATGTAAGATCAGCTCAAAACTTTTTAAATATTAGATAAAATACAATATAAAGATAAAGATCGACATTGATGGCATTCAAAATTAGCAGTTACAATGGGAAGTTGATTTCTTTCCCTTAAGAGAGTAAAGGTAGGAAAGAGAGTAGGAGAGAGAACATGAGAGATCTATGACTGTCATATCCATCTATGGATAGGCTCATGTATGATTTAGTAACTGTCAAACATTGAGAAACAATCACTTTTACTTTATTGCACAACTAATTGCTATTTGTCTCCTCAACTTGTCTTCTTCACTTTCTGACCGTATTAGGACTAAAGAAGGATCGGGAGCTCTTATGTATATTTCTACGTGATTCCCACACAAGTAATTGGATGGCTTTTTCACAACGACGACAGGTTTCTGGTGCTGCCCAATGACTCGGAAACGGCATAGGGGGTCGGTAGCTGGAGAATACCATTTTTTCTTTCAGCTATCATGAAAAAGTTCAGAACAGCTTTTAATTTCATCTGTAGTCTGAGAATATTATTAGAAGGTATGTCATGACCTATGGCTGTGACTGTCAGTGGCTTAAGTACTTGCCAGCTAATCCGAGTATTCGCAGATATTAAGCAAGAAGATAAGAAGTGCAAGACGATTGACTGTCAGATATGTTTTTGATCCGATTAGCATTCCCAAATGAAGCCAGTGCTACTCAAGTAGGAATTTTTGAAAAGTTGGCGCGCGATGTTTGAAAATGGCAACAGGTTCCTTGATAAGTTGCAAGCGCGAAAACGACTTGCCGATGATGCAGAAGACTTCAGAGAAATTGAACGTACATTCAAAATTATGAATTAATATAGTCATGTGATGAGGATATGTGTTAAGCGGATATGTTAGGGAACTGTATAATTAAGAGGAAGGAGTCTGATTGGAGAGAAGAAAAGGAAGACAGATGAAGAGGGAGAAGGAGCGTGATGAGGACTGGAGGTGAAGGTTAATGGATATAAGGCTCTCTTAATTTTACTTCGCCCTATTGTTTTCTTCCTAATTGATTGATTAAAAAGAATCAAGAGAAGTGTATGGATGATATGAATGGAATCTGAAGCTCACAACAGAATAAGAACATAAGTATATAATCGATAGGTTATTGATTTATTTAGTTATCATGTGTTTATTGTTATAAAAAATGATTTGTTGTGTTTTTTGATTTGGAAAAACGTAACAGAAAAGAAAAGCTAAGAAAATGAAGACGATACGACAATGGCTGTAAAGTTCAATGTTCGATTTGGATGATGGTGATAAGTATCGATTGAAGTCATTGCCGTCTGACGACGTCGTCAGCCACAACTTCAGAAAGCTGCGGTAAGATGAAGACGTCAATATTCTGTCTTTTTTGCAATCAAATGATGACAAAGAATTTGTCGAAAGTGAAAAGCTTCTTCGAATCTATCCAGAACATCTGACTACAAGAAAAACTTGACGAATTCAAAGTGATTAAAGAACGTTAAAGCTGAGTATAGAAATCTTAGAAATAGATGTGAATCATCAAATTCTTTTTTAATGAATATGTCTCAAATAACATTTGGAACTTCCAGTGTCTCCAAAACAAATTTTTACAGTTCAGGACAGTATGGAACATGTGATAGCTTGTCTGCCATAAACTACCTAACATGGTTACTAAGTTATTAAAAGTAAAACAAGGGATTAGACAACGGAGAGATAGAACAGATTAAGCTTAGCACCAAGCAACAGCTAAACTAATAAACAATCATGTTTCGATCGTCATGTTTTCATAAGAAAAAAAACAAGAAAAAACAATTTAAAAAATTAAAAATTAAAAAAGTTTTAGAGAATCTTAGAAGAAGATTGGGCGGCAGGAGATGTTGCAAGCAGCACACCGGCTTCCACAGGCACATCAACAAGTCGTCAAGCCGGCTATAGCCATGATCCACCTTTCCATTTCTTTCTACAATTCGTTTGAATCTCTCTCTCTCCCTCTTCCCATTTATTTCTTCTTTCATAGTTCTCTCTGCGTAACAGCAAATTGGAGAATCTCTAGGATTCACGTATTTCGACATGGCCATCTAAGGCTTATATCACCTGCTTACATTCTCTTCTTTTTCTATAGAATATTCCTCGTCCTACCTCTTCTTCTCATAAATTGATCTGGCAAGTTAATTTTATTTCTCTTCGTTTCTTCTTCGTACATTCGATTTGGATATATGAGAAACATGACTAGTTTCCAAAAAAATAATGTTATCTTATTTTTCTTCAAGAAAAATAATTCAGAGACTATATCTTGGGCAATGACAGCAATGCACAACCATTCTCCAGCGTCTCAAATTTGAAAAATATAATCTCAATCGTGTCCATTTCGGTATGCTAATTTTCACGTGCCACGTGGGCATAGTGAGATAAACATCTTTAAAATTTGAAAAAAGACGCTAATTTTCCAAATAGAGAAGAGGAATTGCTGTTTGATTTGATGTTAAAATGGATTGGAAAGAAAAACGAGTGGTCGAAAAGTCTGACAGGTGGTTGTCGCGCTGCTGTTGCTTTTGCTTCATTTAGATGCTCTTTTACAGATCTCCCGATTATGGCGCGTCATTCAAAATTTTGATAAAAGCAGCCCGTGGTAAAAAATTGAGAAGAAGAAGAACGAAGAAAACAAAAAAAAGATGTGGAAATGTTGTTTCAGGTCAACCAGAGGTGTTAGCGAGATGTTTGAAGCATCGTTGTGTCACATAATGCTCCAGTATTAAAGAATCTCTTCTGATTCTTCTTGTCTCAAGGCCATCGCTTTAGTTCCCATAAATACAAGAACATATACATGTTCATAAAGAATGTTTTGTTGTTTAAAAAGAAAGTAGTAGAAGTTTCGGTTCTCTGTCGGTCATCGGCCGTCGGTTTTAGGTTTCCATCTATCTCCTCTTCTCACTTATCGTATACGGTAAAAAGCACATATGAAAATACACTTGTGCTTTCCTAATTTTTTTGTGACAGCAATATCTTTCTGAACTAAAAAAAAACGAAGGACGTCATCTGACAACAAAAAAAGGAAAAACCATGCGAACAAAAAACATTCCTTCATGTATTCTTAGAACTGTATTTTGGAAATGAGGGGATAGTAAGCTGACACGGAAATTAAATAAATAGCTTAGAGAAGATTTCTTATTACGCTTGTAGGACCTGAATGAGAAAATGAACAAAGCTTGGTAATTCTTCCTCTTTATCGTCCTCTTTTCTCTTTCTGTATTGGAATATCCTGATGATGATGATGCAGTCTGATGGTTATTGCTACAAGACATACATGGAAGAAGAGAGGGGGATGCACCTAAGAGAAGCATAGGCTGTGCGGTGCGTCGTAGGGTGGGGGCTATATTGGAACTGGTTTGAAAAAGAAGAAAAAGAAAGATGAGAATACACACAAAAAGACTATCGTACGAAAGTAAAAATTGTTTGGAGCTAGTCGCCTTAGCCGGACGAACAAAAAAGTGAAATGAGGGGTGAAGATTTACAAAAAATCCCATTAGTAAATTTCTCATCAGAACTTTCTCTAAGTTTTATAAATGAAAGCAGTCTGAGACATGAATGGCAACCTGTTCATGAGAAAAACGGATTTTCTACTAAACTTTAATTTTCTTGACTTCGATTACATCCACTCTACAAAAAAATGCAGGTTGGAGGGCGAAGACTATTTTGAAGAACCATTTTGATTTGATAGAAGTCTTTGAGAATCATAAGTTGGGCTAACAGCCGGTGTCGACCTATTAATGGTTGTCCAAATGCGGTGATTCTCTTTGCATCATCGTTTTTTTTTCGAATTCTCCTCTCTAATTATAGTACGTAATGCTTCGCTATCAGGAGAGAAGCAAGAAATGTGAAGTTCATGATTTGCCTTATTATGAGTCCTCCAAGCAGTATTTCAATTCAGTGAATTGCCATCGAAGACAATTATTGCTGGACGATTTTTTTGAAAAGGTATGATTTTTTCTCTTTCATAACTGTCATATGGTGATGGAAGACTGTCGGAAAGCTGGAGACAGACAAAAAAAAGAAAAGTTTAAGAAAAAAGTGAAATTAGAGGATGACAGTAGCAGATCAACCGCAAGCAATGCTGCTTTCTTTGACTTTGAATGCGAAAAGCCTGTCTCTCAGAGTACAATTGGCTAAGCTGAAAAAATAGTACCAAAACTGAAGAAACAGGCGCCCATCTAATAAAAAAAAACAGGAAAATTTTTTCTCAAATTGCCAGAAAAAATGGGAGAGTTAACGATGAGACAAGTACAAGACGACATAGAAGCTGATCACAAAGTATCCTTCATGATTTTATGTGACCTTTTCAGTGAAGTTTTGTTTCACAGCATACTACCATTCACACACTTTTCTAATTTATTTAACTTCTTTCCTTATTAAGCGAACAGAAGCCGCCTTATGACGTCATCTCTTCATCTAATGCCAAGACCATTGAGTAACTTAACAATAAAATCACAAAATTAATTGAATCATAGCTTGTGAAACATTCCAAGCCATAAAACTATTATTTTATATCAAGCTAGAAGACTATAAACGGGTTGATTCAAAATATCTGAGTCGATGAGGGATTTGTACTTTAATGCGCAACAGGAGGGATCTTCATTGTTTTCCCTACCAGCCGTGTCAAATAAGAAATAAAGCCTGTTTTTCGTTTTAGATGCTTCATACGTAGCAGACTGTAAGTGCTCGATACGAGAAGATGTACAGCTGTAGTTTTATAGATTCGGTCAGGAGTTATTTTAAAGTTAAGATTTGTTATGATATATTATGTCACATCACGCAATGCCCATAATTGGCATGCTGTAACGGTCGGTATGTGTGTGACTGTAGCGGCATAGGTTTTGATGAGCAACGGGCATGAGTTCATATATGGAGCCGAGAAGGGAATATAGATTTATTAAACAGATATTGTCATGAAGTCAGATAGTTTTGATTGATATTATAAAGATAAAGAGGCGACAAAAAAGTAATTTCTGTCATATTGATGTTTGGTATTCCGATATAAATTATGATAACAGGTGTGACATCAAATTTGCAAAATCAAAGAAAATAAAGTAAAAGCAAAGGGAGAAAAGTCATCTGTAAGAAGAAGCACTGACCGCTCATTTGGCAGAACAGTCTCTTACTGCTAGTGACAAGCCTCTTAATTAATAATAAAAAGAAAAGAGTACCTTTTCAAGTGTAGCAGTATCTTCAAGTAGTTTGAGCATTTCTAAGCATGGAAATGCCGCTCTGTAATTAACCAAGACACTTCAACACCTTTGACCTTTCTCATATTATTCTCAGTTTTTTCTCTTCGTTGAAATTCGAGAAAAAATTCAATCAAATTGTATAGAGCAACTAGGAGTTTTATTTAACTTTTGTTCTCACTTGTAGATCTTGTGGCTCAGTAACCATCTATGGACCGAATTTGTTTATTTTCAGAGATTCAATATGTTTACAGCCAGGTATCATCCTGCCCTCAATACTTATACACGTTAATTTACATAAATAAATTGAAACTTCATCTGTTGAGCTTTATTTGCATATTGACAGTAAATATTCTAATGAGCGGGTTCATACTTCGCCTTCAAAACTTCATGTGAGGTCGGAAAAATCTCATTCGTGTTTCATTAATTCCGTATGAAACGGTTGCATTCTTCTCATGGTAAGTTGAAATAATTTATGTTTCCAAGATTTATTAGAAGACTTTCACATAACTTCCACTCATTGAGATTGCAAGTTGTATACTGTATCAGGAATTTCATTACAAGACAGATTTACGGTTTTTCACCCAATGGAAACCCTACTAAGTTGATATCGTTTTGATTTGAAGATGTAAGTGTTCACTTTCCCACGCACACTTGTATGCCGTTTTCGGAATTTTATTACGTATTTTCCACTGCTTTCCATTTTCCATGCGATATTTCTGCTTCACTTACTGTTCGTCTAACAATAGCCGCGGAATACGATTCCTCCACTTAACAATTCTGGTCGAAGCATACCACAGTTGACTTCATAAAGACTTCAATTCAAAAATGTTTCCTACGCGGTAGACAATATGCAAAGCGTGCGGTTGCGTGGCGGTTGAAATATGTGGACTATTGGGAAAGCCGCACGCGTTGAAGTACGCGTTGCGGTCTTAGGATAGCGTTAGCGCGACTACCGCTCCATCGACCGTTATCCTGCTCCACCGAACTTTTTTTGTCCACATTATTTTCACGCTTCTTGAAAAAGCTGAAACCAAGTGAACCTATCACCTAGAATAGAACTAGATATCTGTAGCAAATGAAATTCGTTATATGGTTATTAAAATGAGATTTTGCTGAGCTTCATAAAAATTGTTGCATTCTTTCCGACATATATCTCTGACATATCTATGGTCTCAGAAAGTGTATAATGAAACATTTTCCAGAACTGTACTTTTTGAATGGAGGGAAATCCTGGGACTTCGGATTTAGTACAGACAAAAGAGGAATATGATGAACACGAAGGTTCAGTTCTTGAAAAGCTGACATGTTTATGTTTGAATGTTTCAGGCCAAAATGTCTTAACAGACGTACTAGATGTTGGGGAAGAAATCGCTGTAGACGAACACGGTATTTTGCAAGAGGCTATAATGCAGCAAGGACTACCTGACGAAGGCAGTGAGTAGTTTCAGAATTGTTTGGGTGAACGTCTATCCTTTAAGATATTGAAATAGAGTATATAGACGACGGAAGCATAGCTGCTGAAGAGATAGTTCTTGACGAAGATGGTGTTTTGATGGAAGTAAGATTACTTTTAAAATGCCTCATTTTTCAATTTAATCTTATAGGAAGATGATATAGCTACTCAGTCTTTAGTTGCTTTATCCAGAGGTCCAAGACATAAAGACAAAACTGTCCGTGAATTCATTCAGCAAACAGTTCCCATGACTGGAAAGGTTTGTATTCTGTCACATGAAAACAACTCATCACATTTTCAGCAGGCTCATCGTGGCCAACCACGTATACTTCGAAGACCATTAGGAGCAAGAACTTCTTTATATGAATCGTCCAGTCGAGGACTTCCTCGCCCTAACTATCCAAGTGAGTATCGACATGTTTTTTTGACAACTGCTGGCAATTCAGTTCCGCTTCAAACTAAGCGACTGTTACCCGTAGCTACTGTTCCAGTTCCTCCTACGAAGCAACCCACTACGCAGAAAGATTGGAGAGAAGAGCAAAAAAGGTAAGGTTGGCAATGATTTCTGATTCAATTTCTTTTTTTGAAGACTGTTAGAAATTTATGAGATTTACGATTGTTTGCCTGATCATATGAAAGAACCATTCCGACGAGTTCTAGAATCTAGGGGAGACAACTCTTTAAGAATTATTCCCAAAAGAGGTTCGAATCAAATGAGGGTGAGTAACAAAAAGAGTTTTATCCTGATCAAAGATTGTTTAAGATGAGCGGAATGGGTAACATGAGCCAGAGGGAGCAACACTATGCTGAAGAACAAATGATGGAATCAGAATCAGCTGTGAGGCACGTGCAGTACAAGGATGTTCGAGGTTTCTAACTTTCTATTTACAACTTTAATAACAATTCTTGATTAGCACGTCATGTCAGTGATAATGAGCTTATGATGACTGATGATCAGGAAGGGCAGGGTATGCATATGGATGACAAGCGAAATGTGCAACAAGACTTGGAAGAGCTATCCGATATGCCTCAATTAGAAGAAGCCACACCTGTGGAAATGCATTCCCGACAAGTTCGAGTGAGACATAATCTGAGTACTAAATCAAGAAATAATTTTCTTACAGCATCCACAGAATGCTCTTCATCAGCCAAATGATGCTCAGATAGACGTTGAAGGATATGATAGTGGAGAAGATCAGGAAATGCGTGGTAATGTAGAATATATAATGGACTCTGAAGATCTCGAAGTTTATGATAGAGTGAGTTGATGAGTTTATCCGTGAAAGTTCTCGTAATTGCTTTTTCAGAATTCTATGAAAGGAGGGTATATTAGGCATATGCGGAATAGTCAAGTTATAATGCCTGCCATGCGCGATGAGTATTATGGTGGTGTAGACGTGTCTCAATATTCTGCTAATAATATAATGATGAATAATGTTAGTGGAAACTCTGAATAGTATAACTCCAATTTTTCTTCAGGAATCTCGTTTCTGCCCTGGCTGTAAAATGACGTTGAAGCGCTCTGTGTTTTATCATCATAGTAGAATGATTAAGAAATATGGTGTCTGTAATATGTTTACTCCGAAAAGGTTTCCTTGTGGGTTCAACGGGGTATGATGCATTCTGATGTAATATTGATGAGATTAATATTTAGTGTGATGAACGACTGGGAACAGTTGAGAAGTTGTGTGAACATATGTGGCAAATTCACGGTGCTCCTACAGACATTAAAACTGAAGTCTTTCATAGCGAGGCTGATTTTGAAGTCTTTTTGAGGGATCTGGAAGGTAAAGGCGGCAACTTCCGAATGTCTCGAGGAAACAAAATGATCAAAGTAATCATAAAGTGTATACCAGACTGAGTTTTATTTCCAACTTACAGGCTGGAATGGTTCAATATTTCCGATGTAACAGAATGCAATCTGTGTCACGGGATAAAACTTTGCGGGCTTGTGATGAACTGGTTTGCTTGTTCTGTTCAATTTGTTCTCAAGCTTTTGTTTCAGAGTGCATATGGAAGCAGTCCTGTGGAGAGAAATGAAGACGATCCATTTGTTGGGATAGGTGGAAAGCCCTGTTTAAGAACGGAAGAAGCTTGTACAGCTTTCTTCAGAAAAGCCTACTTACCTAATGGGTAACTCTATAACCTTATGTTCTTCAAAGACTCGATCAATTTAGAACTATTGAAGTTCGTTTTTGTGATCATCATTTACACGAGGATGAACGGGTTCGATTACCTGCCATTCTAAAAGATAGGATTTTTGAAATGAGCCGAAAAAACCTTCCTCCACCTGTAATCATGATGGTTTTACAGCGTAAGCTATCTATGCTTCTTGAGAGACATCTATTTGTATATATTTAGATGAACGAGAAAAGTTCTGTCAAATAGGCTCTGCAATAGAACGACGAATAATGGCTTTAACTCCTAAAGATATTTCTAACACCCTTCTCTCGAAATCATCAGCACGTAAAAAGAAGAAATCCAATCAGTATGATAATGATCAGTGTAAGTTAAATTTTTGAATGTGGATTTTCTGAATCGGTCTCTGTAGATGAAACGGTTTCTGTTGATGGACATCATCACGATCAGCATCAGTCTTCTCCATCACAAAGTAACATTTCTATGGACGGACAAAGAGAGGTATCATAATGGGATTGAATTACCTATCATTCATTTTCAGCATTTCCAAGGATCAAATGTTCATGGAAGTATGGTCGTTGAAAACGTGTCGTATGGTCGTAGCAATCAGAATGGAACAGATAACATAAACAGAGCTGATCTCACAGAACTGGAACAGCGTATGCTCGAAACCTATGAAGCGAATCATGAAGTTATCTTAACTGATATGCAAAAGATGAAACGCATAGAAAACAAGAAACGTCATCTTCGAGAAACAATCCGAACACGTGTTTATGCTCTTGGTCGATTTATCAAAACTATGAATTTCGCTGATATGTCTATCGAAGTTCTAGAGGAGATGTCTGAAGGTTTGAAAAACGTGAGTATCTCTCATAAGCTTCTTCTTTAGTTTTTTATTCGCAGGTTCTTGACTGCACTCGCATCAAGAGTGAGCCCGAGGTATTCTCTCTTTCTTTACCTGCCAAACCTATCAAACAGGATGTTGCTGAGAATGACGATGTATGTTGATAGACCTTCTGCTGTGATTATGCTATGAGATTTCAGTATTTGCAACCGAGTGTCGAGAGGAAAACACGGAAAAGGAAGGTGTTGAAGGCCGAACAGAACGATCCGGAAGTGGTAAGGTTTATTTCCTTACTATGATCACACGCTTGCATTTAGAATTCTGAACCATGTCTCGAAGCTAATGATAGTAGGGAGTACCACACAGAAGACACCATGGAACAAATGATTGTAGAAGCCGAATCTCCTATCTCGAAAAAAGTAAAAGTTTGAGATCGTAATTTTCTAGAACACAGTAATTTTTCAGATTCATAACCAGAGCAGGCGGGGCCGTCCAAAGAAAGAAGCAAAAAAGGAATTGCCAGACGAAGAGGATAAATTGGATGCTCCTACAGAAGAAGTGAATGATGAGGTTGTACAGTTGCCTTCTCGAACACGCGTCGGACGTGTTGTTCGACCAAGAACTATTCTCGATGTTTAAACTAATTTCTCTTGTGAGTTCTCTTGTTATGCTGGGCAATGTTATATAGATTTTAATGATTTCAACTAGTTCTCAATCACAACTTAGAATTGGATAGATATTTTGACACCTCAACATTGCTCTTCAATAATCTTGAATTCGGGTAATTGTACACACATGTGTTGATTTTGATGTATTACATACGGTGCATTATCTCAAACCTCATTTATGTTAAAGGATGATTTATTGTTAAAAATGGCCTTGATAATAAAAATGTAATAAAAATCTTTAAATGGACATGTTAATAGACACCATACGTTCTCTGATAGGCGACGTATTCTGCAAAATGTAATGAACATTCGTTCTATCTAACTATCTATTACCTGATTGCATGTAAGTGTTGAAGCTGTTGAATGGGTTATTCACGCTTGAAACTGTTTTATACTGAGAAGGATCTGAGATAACGGAATAAGCATCGTCGTAGCTGGTTCCCAAGAACTGAAATATCACTTGTCTCGTGAACTTTCCAAATGTCGGACTAACCTGGTTCAAGTATGGTAAAGGACTGGTTACTCCAAGTTGTAAAGCGTAAGTGAAATATTTGAGGTTAATTGTCTTAGTAGTTAAAGCTGGGATTGGTGAAGAAATGCTGAAAAGACTAATAGGAACATCTAGTGCTCTAAAAACTCACTTTGATGATTGGAGGAAAGCGGTTACGAACACTGTTCTATTTACATTAAGTCCGGCACTTTCCGGGTCGAATGCGAAGTATTGAATAGCTCTGAAAGAAAAGCTATCAATCAAAATATGGAAGTTCCACCAACGCATTGAGATCAGGAGGTAGATCAGTGCTACTTGCATAAATAGCATCGATTGCATTATTCAATTGATCTACTGATGAATATGAAGAGAGGGGCCATGAAGTTGGAAGTACAACTCCCTGTGTGAATTAGTAATATGACTCTAGTCTAGTGAAAAAGAAATACCTGACTGTTGTAGTTAACTACCGAGAGTCTGCTTGCGTCTCCAGTACTAAAGTCTCCAACGTCTTGGATAAATGTTTTCAAGAATACTTTGATCTGCAACATGATTATGAGAAAACTTAAAAACTCCAAAGTAAACTTGAGATAATTGAAGTGGACTCAAGCCAGAATTATCAACAAGGAATATATGATCAGCGTTGATTGTTCTGAGAGGTGGTAATGATGGATACACTTGTTCTTTATATTCTGAAACAATAACTTAACGCGATAAGTTCGATCCAGTTTACCTGATGTAATGGCGCTCAGCAGATTGAGTCCTACTCCGGACTCGGCCTTTAAGAATTGTGGAGAGCTAACAGTTTGCTGGAATCCGGTGTTGATGAACTGTGTGACAAATGTTGGCCTCTCTCCATTCGTGGAAACTCCGTACACTTTGGTTGTGTCGGTTATCTTCAGAGCTTGAGCAGTTTGCTTCGAGTTCTGATAGAAGCTAGAAAATTTCAATCATGAACTGATATATCTTAAGAGAATAGTTACTTGTTAGAGTTTGTGAACAATAAACTATAAGTAGTAGCTCCCTCTCTCCATCCATTCTTGGGGTCCAAGAAGAATGATAAGCCTTGATTTATGGCTCTATAAATTAAAAATAGTTTCGTTGATTTTCGATAGATTTTTACCCCGTCAAGTCACTGGCGGCTGTCGTTGGGTTTTGTTCAAGGTGGAGATTTGAGATTTTATCTTTAATAGCTTGATTGCTCTTAGATTCCCAAAGATGGAAACCGGCCTTAAGAATGTTCGTAAAAAAATGAATGATGATTGCAAGTACCTCTGGAATGTTTTGACCATTGAAGGCTTGAAGAGCGAACTGAGTGTCGCGGTTACTGATTGTGAACTTATCAACGAAATTGATCAAGAATTGTTTCATCTAAACATTGCTTAGGTTTATGTTGAGGAGCGCTTGTCACTCACATAGGCAAAGTCAGAATCGCTCATTCCGGTTTCGTCGAGGAAAATGAGAACATCGGCCGCGATTTCATCCGAAGGGAAGTTCGTGGAATCATATGCCAATTGATCTGAAAGTTCACTTCAGGAAAAAATTAAAGGTACAAGCTAAACCATCGAAAAGGTTGTTAAAGAACACATTCATTGGGTTTCTTCCACGAAGTGGAACAGGGAACTTTCCTTCGGACCAATCATCTAGAGAAGCACTTCCGTCCACTCTGCATGAATATGTAAGTTGAGAAAAAGGTAAAGACATACCTGAAGATAGAAGAGCTGTCGCCGGTTAGTAAATCGGCATAATTGATTCGGTTATTGTAATCCAGTACATAAAGGATAGCATTATCGGCAAGTAATGATGACACGTCAGGGTTGTTTGTTCTGAAGCAAAATATAAGTTTGCATTATGAAAAAGAAACTGACTGATTTGCTCCAACTAGGAAAATAACATAGTTTTGCCGACTATTCGTGATCTTCTTAATGTTTTTGTCAACTGCTGAGATGGCGCTTCCTATGTTCGACTTTCCAGATGGTGTAGCAATCCAAGAACTCAAGAATGTTTGAACGGTCTGAACACCCAGGTTTTCATTGGGAAACAAATGCTATAGCTTACATCAGAGTTAGATGTCAGATCCAAGTGATTGTTACTAACAGAGTCTGCGAATGGAATGATAGACACGCTCGATCTATAAATTGTCATGTTTTCTTTTCAGTGGTTGTTCGTACCTGTGATCGTTAACGGTGAGAAGGTTGACAAAGTTCTTCACAAATGTTCTCACATTCTGAATATCGTTAATAATCTCCAGGGATTGATCAACAACAAAATAGAAGTTAGAGTAGAAAGAGTTGATAGCAGGAGCAGCTGAAAAGTCTTTCTAACTAACAGGAGCACAACAAGAAGACATACGTCTGGTGGTCGCCTGAGCTAAGATCACACTTGAAAGGGCTGCACGAACTTCATCAGATTGCCAATTCGTAATCTTTAACACACTTATGTTTCTTCAGAGTTTGAAAGAACTTACAGCATAACTATCGGGACCAAATCGGCTGAGTTCCGAAGCAGTCATAGTCTTTGTTAGGTCAACCGCAATAGTTCTGACTTGTTGTTGTCGAATAGTAGCCACTGATTTGGAGAAGTCCGTAGATGAGCTACCAAGAGAGAACACATACATGTAATTCTCCTTCAAAGGCTCAAAACTACTCTTAGCGATCGAGCTATAGACGTTGGTATTCAAGTATGTTAGAGCTCTGGAATAATGTGTTATTATTTTAAAGGTCTTGTCTGCATTACTGATCAATATCGCGAGTATTATCGGCAGATACGGAAAGGTAACTCAAACGGGATCCCAAACACTCATACAAACTCCAGTAGTTGACAACCTATAATATAAGTTTAGAGTATGTACAGTTTCTGTAAGCTTCAGTACATCGGAGAATGTGCAAATGACGTTAGTAGCTGAATTGTCGAAAGTGGCTACAGTGAAGCGGGAACCATTAGCTCCGATGTAGAACTGGTCACGGAAAGTGGTTTGGAGGAAAAGTTTAGTCTGAAAATTTTTTTTTAGACGAGATAAGAAGTAAAAAAAATCACTTGTTGGAAGCTGACAAAACTTTGATTGGAAACATCGATGAGAATCGTAATATCGGGCCAAATGTCTCTGACTTTGACTGGAGGTATAGGTGCAGGAGTACTAGGTGCAGTTGGTGTAGTGCTTGGTGGGATAACTGAAATAGTTAAGTAATGTAAACGAAATTATTCTCGCTCTCCGAATTATGCAAAACATGAACAGAAATGAGTGTAGGCTCAATCAATCGTTCAATGCTTTTCTGTAAAAGGTGAGCAGTGGAACCTACTTGGCTGTTCGTAAACTCGGCATAAGGCATTGTAAACTTGATTAGCCAAAACGACTGCAGTTCTAGGATTATCCATGCTCAACTGAAGTTTGTAAAAGCATGAGAGAAAAATCAAATGTGTGGTATTACCGATTGAGCATTTGAAACAGATATTCCGTCGTTCTGTCCAGGAATGATGTCACCAGACTTTCCATTAACTTTGATACCATATACGTACGAATATGGAAGACGGCCACGTTCGTTGAGAGCCGATTGATAATCAGCAAAACTGAAAAGAGGAGGATTTTAAAAAGTTGTTGAACAGTAAAACTTACTCGACGGTGTCAGTTATAACTAAGAGTGTTTTACTAGCTACAGATCTTCCAATTTCCATTTGTTGATGAGCCTGACGATAAGATCTTGAAACAAACAAGATTAGAGAAAAAGTTGACAAGAAAACAACCTTGAAAGAAGGTTTGTGATTGTTGACGTTACGTTCTGATAAGGCAAGCTCATTATAGTATCATAAATGCCTTGCGAAGTTTTGACTGCATCCATAGCGAGTACAGGAGTAACGTTACTACCGAAGTAGGTAATTACAGCTAAGTTAACGGGCGATCCCTCGTTTATTTGATTATCATTTAGGCCTCCGTACAAGGAAGAAATCACATAGTTAGCTGCGAAAGTTTTAATCTGAACTCGTCGTTTTGTAAATACATCAAGCTCTGACAAACCGTGTCCCATGTTGAACGATCACTTCCATGCAAAATGATGTTTACATCATCGAATTGGTCACAAACTTTGTCTAAGAAACAAACATATTAGTAAACAGAAATCTTCCGGGAACGAACTCAATGTTGGAACGGGTTGACAAACTGGTTTAGCGAAGAAACCATTGATGGCAGTGTATAATTGGACTGTAAGCTGACTGGAGCTGGTGGTGACATTCACTTGGCCTAGAGCGTTTGTGAATATCAAGGAGTTTCCGTCAATGGCCTTTCTTCCTGTGATTTTCTCCATTGTGGATTGATCGGGATATTTTCTGAAGCACAGTAAATTCATGAACATTGTGTTTTTTTAGGCTTACCCTAAGACAACACCTTGAACTGTTGCTTTCGAACGAAGAAGTTGTCCTAACGGACTGGGATCCATACTAGGATCAGATCTTAAATAAGCTCCAAATGTGTTAACGGACAAGCTGGGCAGTACTTACGCTCCTCTTCCGAACAGAACAACAACTTTGTTATTACCGGATTGATCGAGATCAAGGACATCCAATAACTCATTTAGTCCGCTAAAAAAACATTAAGTATTATATGTAGATGGCTTAACTTACAAAACAATGTTGGAACCAGAACCGAAAGGTTGGAAACTCGTTGTGTTCAATTGGTTGACAGCATCTGTCGGGTTGTCATTCTATTGAGGTATCACAAATATACAAACTAAATTATAGCACGTACCATGGCGAAGAGAGTTCCAGTGTTATCAGGATATGAGTAGTAAACGAGCGTAAGCTTAAACATAGGATATCTGCACTAATCTTATGACTGTATAATTACCTTTCCTCCAGTAGTATAGAACTTATCGGAGTAAATGGCAATCAGGTTTTCTATAGTTTCTCGTTGCTGAAACATTAGAAATAATAAAAAAGTGCTCATAGTTGAAGCATTACAATTTCGACCATGTCACGACCCTCAATACTTGAGACTTCCATGGCGAAGTATAAGTTTGTGCTACAACCGACTTCTAAACTTCTTCAATCATTACGATTTATTAATATCTGCAAACCTTTGCATTGAATCAAGTTCAAAGCTGGTCCGATGGTGCTATTGTTACCTACATTGGTAGAACTCACATCTGAAATGGAATAATAGGACAGCATACTTTTGCCTCTTACTCATGAAAGATGATCCGATAGATCCATCTCTTGTGTAGTAATCAATAGCATTTTCAGTAAGATAACTCTCATACAAGTTCTCATCTATGCCTGAATTAATTGGAATTGTTAACGTAGCATTCAAACGAAAACAAACCAAGTGCGATGATTTGAGTTTCGTATTGAGTTCTCAAGTTGTGACTGTGCTTTTGAGAATCATAAACCTCAGAGTCATTACTATTGGTTCTAGAAATAGTTCAGTATATAATATTAGAAGAGGTTTTATCATTAATTACCCTGATGAGAGGAAGTACATAAGTGATCGCACTCCATGTTGATCGTAACGAGCTTTCTGGCTGACAAACTTCTCAGCAGCAGCAAATCCTCTAAAGAAATAAAAATTAGTCTTCATCTTTTTTTTTTAAATTATTGTGTGCTCAGCTTTGTATAGCTGGGGATTTTTTTTCTCAATTGAACTTTGGCTGTTTCAATTTGAATGTGCATTGTATGGGCTGATTCATGTTTGATCGTAGACTTACACTGATAGCCGAGTATAAGAAGGTTTTGAAGTGAGAGAATTGAGGGCAGCAACGAACTTATCACGAGGTAAATAATCCTGAAGAGGATTATATTTATGAGGAATATTGTGGAACTTACAGATGTACTGAAAACAACAGCGTTGTTGAAACTTATGAAACCGAATCGACTGTCGTTGTGAGCTTGTTGAATAATATTGGATGTAGTGAGAGTGAACACAAGGGAGTTCTATGAAAGTTAGAGATAGATCATTCCTAAAGACAAAGTCATACCTTAAAGCCAGTGCTGACACTCATAAGAGATGAATCATCGACCAAGAATAGAACATCGACGGGACATCTTGGAACTGTAATAACGATTTGTGAATGGAAAAGGTCTCAAACACACCTGGAGCGTTAGGACTTGGTGTAGTATAAACAGGTTTCGGTGTTACTGGAGCTTGTGTTGTTATGAGAGGAATTCGAGTAGACGGCTTAGTTGGTGCAGGAGAAGTAGCATAGTAAGCTGGAAATAATTTATATTTTTTCAAGATTTCAGTTTTTCAAACCATCACAGGTCCATTGGGCGGAGGAAGCTAATACACCTCGGTTATTGAGCCAAGTGAAATCGTCAATGGGATAGTAGAATGAGTCAGCAGAAACAATACTTTGGAAAGTTTTTCTGGAATTTCTTGTTCAAATAGAAAGATAAGGGTTTTAGTCACCTGGCGACTTCGTTCACTGTTCCGACAACAGCTCCAATGTAGAATCCGTGAGCCTTTAAGTCAGCAGCGAGAACATTTGGTGGATCGTTGGTGATATCGCTGAAATTTGATTTTAAAAACCATAGATAGAAGGATGAACATACTATCCATCGGAGATGATGATGATGCTCTTTCCTTGACCAATGATGGGCATGCTCAATATGTTGGAAATGTAAGTGAGTCCACTAAAATCATTTTTACAATGCTTCTTCTAGAAGTGGTTATCGTACTTATTAAGTGTGTGGTAGTCATTGAATGTAGGATTTACATTAGTAGAGTTCAGCTGAGCAACAGTTTTATGCCAACAGTCATCAGAAGTACAAGTTCCAATAGAAGTTCTGAAGACATGGAGATGAAGATAAAAAGTGAAAAATGAAGAAACGCACGCTCCGAGTCCGTTATAGACAATCAGATCAAATTGTGTACTTTTCCATTGTGTTGAGTGTAAACCGATAGCTTCATCATAAGCCGACAAATAGTTTCTAATCTTCAAACAATAGAGGTTGTTAAATTAAAAGTTTTTGTTAAGTTTTGTACCTTGGTTAACTTATCATCCAATGTACCGTAAGATGGTCGAGCAACATCAACCAAGAATGTAGTTTGTACGTTATTCTGATTTGCATCACAAAAAGCTGATAAATGAAATCATTTCAAGATATGAAAGTTGCTGATACCTCCAACTGGCAGAGGAGGAGTTGGTTTTCCGGTGTTACCTGTGGCCGGGCTATAAGTTGGTGGAAGTGGGTTATTGAAGTCTGGGATGAACACACTGCTACACTGAGATAAGGTATCAGCTGCAAATGTATTTGATTAAGCAAATCACATAGCTTTTCATGTTACTATTCGTGTAAGTTTTCCATCTTTGATCTAAGTGTTTCTGTAAGCTGCTAGTTGGTGGAGTGGCAACCGTGAATATATAAGTTGTATAGAAAACAGTTCCATTAATGGGAGATGGTCTAGAGTGTAAGGTTTTAAATTTGTTTCAGACGAAGATACTAACTGGAATCCTTCAACGATTGCTGCGATTGGCATTGGAGACATTCGCATTGAAGATAAGATAGCCAGAGACTGTAACAAGAGATACATAAACTAGCATAAACTGATTGAGTATTACTTCAGCCTGAAGTCTACTCTTCAAAGAGCTGTAAGGACGAGAAGATATATTCAAATACTGCTCATTCCAAGGGATCGTTGGATCCCAAGAAGTGGCAGAAATAGTTGATGCATTGAGAACAGGAACTGTGGGTAGTGGACAATTCTCTATATGAGTATATAATATAATATAAGTTAAGCTTAAGATATAATACTTTTAACACTAAGTTTATGAGATCCAACTGCAATCAAGACAATTCCAGTAATTAATATAATCAAACTGAATATGAATATGCCACCAAGAATATATAAAAGCTTTCGATTAGCTGGTTTCTGTAATTCACTGAAAACAAATATAAAAATTAGTTTGAGGATAAAGCTGAAAGATTTGAATAACCTGAAAGACATGCTTGATCATATGTGGAAGCCTCAACAATGAATCTTCCACTCAGATGGGCAACAATTTTAGTGAATAATGAGTGATAAGAGTTATCAATCATTTTATAAGCAAAAAGTATTTCTTAATAAAATATGAGCAAGCTTATTAAGAACTTTATAATCATCAATAATTCCATTCTTCTTTGCTCATCTTCTGATTAAAATAAATAATTTTTTAATATTTCAAAAATGATTCATTGAGGGTTATTCATCCACCACCTTCTCTCTCTCTCTGTCTCTCTGTCCGTCTCTCTGTCCACCTCTCTGTCTCTCTGATACTTTATACTCTTCTGTTGTATAAGTGTAGTTACTGTCCCATATATCCTCACTCCCCCCCCCCCCCCCCCCCCCCTCCCACATCACTTTTTTTACCTTTTTTTGTTTAAAAGTTTGTTTTTTTCCCCAATTCCCCCCCCCCCCCCCCCCCCCCATTCCATCATTGACTAATTCCTGTTTCATCTTATTAATCATGTTATCTTTCAATTATTCATTATTGCACCATATTATTATTTCTTTTTTAAAATTGATAAGCTACCGAATTGTCTTCTATTTATATTTTCTTTTTTTTTCTTATAAATTAGATGTTCATCATCATCATCATCATCATCACCATCATTCACTTTCATTTTTTATTTCAGATTATCTCGTGTGGATGATGATATATTGATTATCTGGAACGTTCTCTACTATCATTACATATCATCGTTCATGACGTCATATGTACATGATGTTTCATAGAAATCGTGCAATTTTCATTTTGTCATTGAAATATGGCGTTAAATCGGTTAAAAGTTGATGATGGATAGACACTATGATGTCATCAACATGAAAGTTGTTTGTCTGCCTTTTTTGATGTTTTTAATAAATCGATTAGATATCTTAAATGTATGGGTGTGATATGTATGTTGTATAATCATACACGGATACATATTTTACTATTTGATTTATATACTTCAATATCACAACTCATTTATCATTTCTTATGTTTTAAACTCATAATTCTTATCTCCTTTTTTCGTCTGATAATTCAATGGACGAGACAATCTCAATTCGCACATTGTTAAGTTGGCAAAATTCGAGGGAAAAGGATAGATAGCGAGGGAGGGAGAGAGAGAGAGAGTGATAGAGATAGAGAGAGAGGGACACAAATAGGTTAAAAGAGAAAAAAAAGCTGAAAAGCTATAAATAGAGAGAAACAGAGAGAGAGAGAGAGAGAGAAAATGAAAACCAGTTTAGCAAACTTTTTCATTTTCATTTTGTATGAAATAGTTTGGTTTTAAAATCAAATCTCAGTAAGTCAACATGGTACGACAAACGTATGGCATTGTACGAAATATTTATTTAATTTTTATAACCTTTTCATAACGTATTTGATTAAAATATTAATAATGCCATTTAAGTATGGATGGATGATGTATAAAAAGGTTTTTCGACTGATTCATTTCTATTCGAACAGGACGATGATGTGATTGGCTTCTCATACCCGGAAATGACATTATCAACTGTTTAGATTACCGTTTATCGTTTAAACAATTTTTTTTATTATATATTATATATAGTTATCAGTTGGTCATGCTCTAATGCCCCCTCATCATTAAAATATTTGATTCTCATGAGATTATATATATATAAGACGAGTTTATTTGAGATTATCATAGGCCAATCATTTGTTTCAAATATTCTCTCTCTCTCTCTCTCTCTCATCTCATTCAAATCCGTTTTTTTCTTCTTCTTCTTTTTTTCTCTATTTATTTAGCTTAAGTACAAAAAACTTTGATAGGATACGCCCATTCTTCCCCATGTGATATTTAACTCATCCAATTCATTAAACAGTTTTCATTGTTTCCAGAATGAACGCTAAATTCATAATTGCCTACCTTCTTGTAATTCTTGTTGTCTGCTTCCAAGCAGTGGTAAGTTAACATATAATTAGTATGTATATTATATTAATATTTAGAATGCATTCAATGTTCCACCAACTGGCATGTGCTTTGTAGGATCTGGAGGAGATTGCTACAGATGTGATTGCGCTAAACCACTCTCATGCTACAAAGGCAGTTGCCGATAGACTGTTGTTCCTTACATCCACCTCAATAAACATTCAAATTTCATCACAGAAATAGTTATCTATCAAAATGTAAAAGGGCAGTTCATATGAATTGCACTCAAATGGCTTATTCATAAATCTGTCTGCGGTGAATGAGTAGACAAACATTCAAAGGACGTATAATACCCTTTTTTGCTCATGATCTCCAAAATGTTTTCGTGTTCAGATAATTCTTGAACAAGAACTGAAACCCTTCTGAACTTATCGTTTTTTGTTAAAAATTAATAAAGGGGAAATGAGTTGAGTTACCGAGTTGTCCATTCCGCTTGATCTGATCTTTAGCCTCCCCTAGCTCAAATCAAGAACATTCACGTGAGCCTCGTGTTCGTTTGTGCAGCTGTAATGAGTGTACAGAGCTTTAAATGAAATGTGTCCATCTCGATTAAAAAAAACCTTGATTTAGTCCATAGAACATGAACTGGAAGCGGAAGTAGAAACAATGTTCTGAGTCATGAAATGGATGGAGTCTGGTTCCTGTTCACACATATAACTCTTTCAACATCTGAAAATATGCTTCAAGAGCTTATCAATATCTTTGAGACTTTATTTCTTTTTATCATTACAGATTGAATAAAATGTAGTCTGCACTTTATTCCTTGTATAGTTGTTACATAATAATGAAAGGATATTTGGACATCTTACACTCATGGGGACCACAGCCATTTTCCTTCTATCGCTAAAGTTTATCGCTTACTCCTCGGAAGTTATCCATAGAGAGAAGTATCGATAGGTGACAAATAAAACTAGCAAGGTATAGAGCTTCTAATCCTCCTATTTAATGCCGTTGTTTGTGCCGCCACGGCGGCTTATTGTTTTGGTGAACTTTCGCGAGTTCAAATCAAGTTTTCTATTTGAGTTTTTCTATTTGAGTCTAACATCTTAGTAATCACGCTATTTCTGTACAGTCATAATCACCTTCTGTATTAACCAAGAACTTGGAACGAATTCACAGTATTGTTTCTTAGATGCAGTAGCAGACTGAGGGCTTCATCTCAGCTCTCCGTAATAATATTTTACGCTGTTGAATTTAATTTTCATACTAACTCACCGAACTCAGAAAATAGGTTTTTAATGAATACACTTCAAAATTATGAGTTGTGCCGGTTTTATAGAACAACTTCATTGTCAATTCTTTTTGCAGCTTGAGTTGAAACTGAACTGTTGAGCAGTTTTCATCGAAAACGATTTCAGTAAAATTGAATTGATTATTGTTTATTAGGTTCATTCGAATTTTCTTGTTATGTATGAAGTCCATTTAGAAACGCCTTCTCTTGGCTCACACTTGTAGTTCGAGTTGCTCGGATCACTTTCCATTTATTTTCTATTTTGTTTTGATATCTAGGAGCTTCGGTTAGTCATTGTCATCAACAAATGCAGTTTCGCTCATCTTCTCGACATTGCTGTTGACATCCTTCGTACA